ATAATATAATATACATGAAATATAATATAATATAATATACATGAAATATACGTGTAATATAATATAATGTGATGTATTATTATATTAAACTTTAATATAATTAAATATAATCATATAATATTGTATAATTATATATGATACATGACAATATGTTATAAATTATCAAACTACAAACAATATAATGTAAACGACTTAAATCTATGTCTAACACACATAGTTTGTTATTGGGGGTTTGTTTTGGGGGGGGTTAACATTTTATTGTGTGTGTATATTTGTACAGGATATGAACTCAAGTTAACATCCATATCTTAAGCATTATTATTATGTGCATACACAAGTATAACCAACATTATCTAGGGCCATCACGGCTGAAGTATTGTAGTGGTAATAAAATAATATGATGCTAATTATAAATTAATTCATATCTTAATTCTATTTTTGTCTTCTTTGATGTGTCTGCGAGTAGATTTATTTTTAACGTTTGTTATACAATATTTGATTAATATTTACCACATACCAATAAAAAAAACTGTGAAAGGGTAGCCCTTTTTAGCATAAGCGAAAATTTCGAACTTGCATGAATTTCGTTATTTGAATGAAATTATAGTTGGAGTAATATTAATTCAATAGATATCTATAATGAAATACAAAATGTAATGCAGTTTATATACGAGGAAAAGGAAACTAACTTTGAGGTAAATATCTACAGAATACGTTTGTCTTTGATTTCAGAGATAACCGCATGTTCTTCAGTAACATCATAATTGTACATTTTAATTGCTTTTATTTCCGGCTGTTCTCTTTACCATTTGTCACAAATGAATATGATAGGATAAAAACATAATACATTATTCAAATCTATAAGAAAAAAAATAGTGACTAATGTTTTTGAACATGCATTTCACATACTCTTCAATAAAACCACAATGTATCTATTCGCAAGCCATCGGTAATGCGAAACAATGTTTCATTTAATTCAGCTACAAACAAGATCGGCTGTCATGAATCAATTTGTAGATAATTGTTTAAACTTACTGAAATGATGAAAACATCGTAAACAGATGTATAGATTATCAGCGCGATAAAGTTATACTTCATAAATTTCAAAATAATTAAAACGAGAAGGCATTCATTTATAAAATAATTACATAGTTAAGAATCACATTTCACTATACGCGTTATATAATATTCGTTCTATACTTCTATAAACAAGCCAGCCAAGGTTTACAGACAATGCGACATCTTCTGAAGTATTTGAAGCGCCATCTTGAATTACCCGTCATGCATTAGTAGACCTACCACGTGGCCAAATGATACGCCATGAGAGCCAAACATGATCTGAAGTCTAACAATGATCACTCAGTATTTGCCAAACACTTATATGCTGATTGCAATGTTGCACGACATCCTTAAAACTTAATTCTTATAGCGGTTAGAAACTTAATAGTTGTGTTTGTTTATTAAGATGCCTGAAAGGTCTTGCGTTGCTTAGTGCCATTTACCCTTATTGTTTCTAGGCATATTCTTTTTCTCCACCCTTTGTATAGCAGAAACTCGTCAAGGAATAATTAAGCATCTCATAGTTATAAAGCTAATTACGGCAAAGTATTCTCTCACGGTTTTGGGCTCAAATTTTAAACTTGATCTTCGCAATACATTCCGAAATTATCAGATACTTAAAATAAGTTATTTGATTATGAGTAAACATCGAACAATATCATACAGAACGCTTTGAAATCTTTCAAGAACCATGCACGCAATCCATCTTGTGTTATCTTCAATTGGTATTGACACGTTGCCAGGATTTTTGGCAATGGAAACACCTTGAAACAATACCCGCCCTGTGAAATGAATTTCAGAACCAAATCTGTTTACAAAAAGTTGAGCCAATTCAGAAACCACACTCAGTGTATCTTTCTCTTAACTTTTTTTACGTCTGTATATGAGCCGCGTCATGACAAAAACCAACATAATGGGTTTGCGACCAGAATGGATCCAGACCAGCCTGCGCATCCGCGCAGTCTGATCAGGATCCATGCTGTTCGCCATCAGTTTCTCTACTTGTCATAGAGTTTGTAAGCGAACAGCATGGATTCTAATCAGACTGCGCGTATGCGCAGGCTGGTCTGGATCCATGCTGGTCGCAAACGCTCTATGTTGGTTTTGTCATGACGCGGCTCAATTATATATTCTGCATAATGACATTGGTGGCTGAATGATACATCTATAGTGCAATGTTGTGTTATAGTCCTTAAGTAATTGACGACTCAATACATCAGTGATAAGTCAAACATATTAAAGTATATTAAAGACCCATTATGCCTTAGAAATGCTACTATTTTTATGTCTCAAAATCTGTTTAATCTTTGTGTCTTGTTTAAACAAAAATCCTTTGCCATATAGATGGCCTCTCTTTTGCTTCTTTTGCAATTGGTATGAAAGTGAAAATACTACTTTGTTTACATTTTGCTACCTTTACGACACATTACTGCACGTTCAGTTTCTTCAGTTGTTCAACATCTAACATGATCTTAGTCCATAATTAAAGCATTTATCATTTCTAAAGAATTAAGAATTATTGAATTCTAAGGTAAAATCTGACTTTAAAACATATTTTCTCAATTTCTTCTTTTTATTTCTCCTCATGTAAGAATGGAAATACATATTCACTTTTCTGGCAAAGAAAAGGTAAGAAAATAAAGATCTACACACGTAAATTAAAGTCGTGTGCAGAAATATAATATAATCCAACCCTTCAAAGATATTAGTTAATTGATTATTTTAACAACCGGAAGTACATGAAAAAGTCATAGTGTACCGACAACTTAACTGCCAATGGAAGATAAGGATTTCACAGAGAAAACTCCCAAAGATAAATGCAACATTTCCATCGAATTCTGAAACGTATTTCAAGCCATTTTACAGATTTACAAAATTGAATTTAATCTGGAGTGATATATTGCAAGTTACAAGGGTCAGTTAAAAGATATTGGGATATCAACGTTTCATATCTAGGGAAATTGTTTTACAATATTTTAATAGTGAGGTGGCCAATTTTTTAAGCACACTGGTATTTAACATCGTGTGAGAACTAAGGAAATTTCTCCCTGATATCATTATCTTGTCATATTTATATTTGGAAAATACTATCTTTATACCTTAAGATTTCGTATAAGTTTCAGACATTGCTCATGTACTTGTGAGATATTTATGAACTCATGAGAGTAGAAATAACAAATGATTATCTTTCATTTTACGTGAGTTTTAAAACCATGTTATCGTCTTCAATTAACAAATATAAATGATAGAAATTGACTTTTTATAAACTTCACAATAGCAATAGTCCAGCAAGGCTTTGTAATAATGAACAAACAAACAAAGATAAAATTAACTGAATCCAATCGTGATTTACTTTGTTGACTCTCATATACAGTTTATTGAAATGTGCATTTTCTTTACTACATTTTTAACGTATTAGTATATATTGACCAACGTGTTGAAGAACTCAATTGTGGCGTGCCATAGTGCCATAGGAAAATAAAGTAGCATTTGCAGGGTTATGTTAAACTTTACAAAAGTAAGGCATAAGAATGATTTAGTTCACTGTTATATAAGGTAATGAGAATAAACTGAATGCCTTCTGGTGACATAAACTTGATATCTGCTTGTTATATCATGTAATGTTATCACGATTGACGTCCCTTATCGCGTCTCTAGTGATATCCGTGTCACGTGTGCCGGAATTTATATGATACTACGAACTACTTCCGAGAGCAAATATTGCATGATATTTTATATAGTCGGACAGATACATCATTGTGCAAGAAAATATAAACGAACAGCATGGCATGGGTTTGTAAGATTTTCATAGTTTTTCATATATTTTTCAAGGATTTTTAAAAACTTTTTTAAGGATTTTTTTTAATTATTCTGAAAATATACGAGGTAAAGACAATTGTTTCAGAACTGTAAATTGTGCAGACCATTTTTAAGTTAAATACTTGATTAAAATTCTATTCTATAAAAGGTTTAAAGTTATAGAGAATAAGCACATATTAAAGAATTAAAATACGATTAAATTGTTCGTTTACATTATTATGGGACATCAAAATTGTACTTACCGAAATTTACCTATTATAATTAACAAATAATACTAAATAATATTCTTACATAATCGCATGCATAATGGGTCACAAATATGATTCATGTTTTAAGAAAATGAAAGAAAAAACAACTAAGTCAATCATCGTTTTTAACTGAAGTTTATTTTTTTATAATGCGTCGTCAACTGCAACATAACATGAATGAAATAAATAAGATTTATGCATGGCAAGACCGGAAACAGGTTTAATTAGAAACAAATATTACAGAAATTAACAAAACAAATCACAAACTTTAGTCGCATTATAATGCAAGCGTCCCATTCCTTTGATGCAGCCTTGCCGATTTCACACAGATTAACACATACTAAATGCAATTCTTATTCGATTTAACACTTGACTAACTCAAAATGATTGTTTTCCATCGTCAGGAAGAATTCCTATTGACTGGTCAAAATTGCCAATCGCCTAGCTGTCAGTTTGTGTTGAAGATTGGATGTTGAATACAAGACAGAAGCATGAATGGTGAAGAACCATGGTGATATTCTTACTGACTTGAGAAATTGAATAATGGTATTGTTTTATATACTTGTCAATTGTCTCCACGTGTCCATGAAATTGGTTATTGACTTCCGGTCGCGTTTCAACAGGATTGAGTATGTGATGCAAAAAAAACAAAAACACCAAAAAAACATTGAATGTTGTTATGTATTTTTTTCTTTCACAAAAGAATAGTTTGAATTGCATAAACAAAAAATAGCAATATAATCTTTTTAAAAGATTAAAAACTGCTTGATATTTAAATTATTTACTTTTCGGTTGATTTAAATTGAAAATTGAAAATGTACACTCGTTTTATATAACAACCCACTTAAAGGGAAAAAAATAACACGTTTTTTTTTTAAAACTAAAAGGCTGTTATTCCGCACTATATACTTAAAACGTTAGAATATTTTCCAGTTAGACAATAATAAGAAGCGACTTTACATATCCTGATTTCTTTTAACCTGATTGTCTTTTTTAAATGTTATGATTAGAAATAAATATAATAACAAAATATCAACTTTGTTACATCAGTTATTGTCATGAAAATATGTTATATAATACAATATCCAATTAACTATATATTAAATTAATGTAAACAGTTCATGCTTTAATTTTCCAGAAAGTCCTACTTTAAATATTAATGTAACAAAAAATAAAGCAAAAACAATATACAAATAATCAGATACGTTTCTTAAATGGACAAAATAACAAATAAATGTTAACCAAAATTAGGTATTTGTTCAAACATGTCTTATATAATTCATATTCATGACTTGCCGCGGAAATAAGAGTAAAATAATGAACTATTTCTAGTTTTTTTTCTACAAGATCCAAAACTATAGACAATAAAAAATTAACCGCGCATATTATATGTGTGTGGCTAAACGCTGCATTTCAGACTCAAACTAAAAGAACTCCCAATAAAATATAACATTTATATACCATGCCGCGAAGTTTCGAATCCGTTAAGAGAACAGTGTTTGCACGGATTATGTTATAGAATTTTTCAGGAGATCATGTAAATTATTGTACTATATTTTACATACAACAGAATTCTCTTTGAGAGACTATTTCAACTACATTATACAAATTTTAAACGTGGATTACACTCTAAAACAGAAATAAATAATTGGACATGTATATAACGATGTTTGCGACTAAACAGAAATGTTGGCAATATCCTGGTGGCACAAAGTTTATATACCATATCATATAACTCGACATAACTATCACATTTTTGCACTATCTATAAATTGCATCCAACACGCATGCGCAGGAAATAATTCAACACTATGGTCTCGCTGAGTCAATTGTTGGCGACGATTCTGATGACGTAGGTGTTGATTTCTGAGCAGAAAGTTTCTCAGCGTTCAAATAAGGATGATACCTGTAAAGCGCTGTTGGATAATGGAGCGGGGCACCAGGAGTGCTTTCTGAATTATATCCAGAAGTGGTTGGTACCCCTTCTCTAAGTCTCATATTACTTATATTATTCGCGGCCATTAAGGGGTGAAGTCCAAGTGCAGGAAACACAAAGTTTGAATTATTTAGTCCAAAAAGTCCTCCGTATAAGGTGTATAAAGAACGATCTGTTGGTGGATAGGGGGAACCTCCAAGAAGTGACGAAGGTATAGGACGCCACATTGACCACGGTGACGTCATCATACCCTGCTTTTCCATAGACGCTTGGTCTTCTGCAAATAAAGGGATAATTATATGTCAGCAAAAACAACAATGATTGTCGATCAATTTTTAACACATTTCATTTTAAAATGCCATTAATATTTACAGGTTTTAAAACCATTACTAAATCTAGTCTTGATAATTTGCAAGATGCAATATGCAAAAAGCAACACATAAGATAATAAAAATGAATTATTATATTTGAGATGACAAAATAATTTTCTGTAACTTAATATGCCAAAAAACTGTAAAAGATATATTAATTTTCTACAAAAAGACGCAACACAATACGCTATAACTTTAAAACTGTTCTCGTACAAAATCATAAGAGAGAATTTATTTACCTCTGGCGTATAATTCCCTGTGTTGTTTGAGTGACTCCTCTATTTCAGCCTCCGTGTACGCTCTAAGCGGGGATCGAGCATACGTGTGCTGCTGCATTAGGCTCTCCATGCTCTCTCTTGATGGGTAAAACGAATCAAACTCTGTCAACCTCGTCGAATCTCTAAATCCCTTAGCAAATGGGTTACTGTCTATTTTTAACTTAGTTATCTGAAGTCAAAGTAATAATAGAGTCAGTCAAATATATTCAAAGAAAGTTCATATATCTCAGTATTTAGTTTCGTATTTTTCTTATTCAAAAATCACGAACAATACCAAAACGAACATCATTCGCAAAAAATATTTCTTTTTCAAAACAATGAATCATATACTAAAAACATATTGTTTTGTTGTTGATGATTCTGGTGGAAAAGGTGTTTCTCAGCGCTTTTGTATTTAATCGATCAGGGATCAAGTTAAAAAAAATCTTCAGTTTAAAATTGTATTTAGATTAAATTACTTACGAGTTGATTTTGGTAGGCTGTCACGGCGATGAATGTGGTTTCTGGGAATACGAACGTCTTAAATTCTTCAGCTTCTAATGTAGTTATGGATGGGAGATTTGGGGTGCTGTCCCTTTTCTTCACTATGTGAATACGTGGTTGATATTTGTGCATCGAGTTCAGGATTATCTATGAACAAGGAAACAAACTATTAATTTGAAGTATTTATACAGATAAAAGTATGCAATACTGGTTTAAAGAAAATAAGTACATGTATTTAAATTAATTGTGACAAAAATCTATAAATATCTCTTTTTGTCTTTTTGTTGTTGTTGTTATCATGATTAACTGTATAATTCTTCTTAAATGTTCGAAATATTAATTATTGTATTACTTTATATGGTGTTTGTATGTTTTTGTATATATTATTCATGTCTGTCTTGTCATACATTTTCTTTTTGTAAATATGGCCAAAGACAGTTTACATGTCGATAGTCAATAAATTTTGAAACCCTTTGAATTGTTAAAATTTGCAATCGTTATATTAATTGTCATATTTTATTCGACCTACCTGGCTATTTTTATCCAGCATGTTATTAGTAAGTTTTAATTTCTCAAATGACACAGTTTGTTTCACAAGTTGTTCTCCCAAATATGGTGAGTCCGGGTGTACATAAAATCTGTAAAAAAAAGACACAAATGTAATTTTAAATGTACAGTATCCCTTACAAATATTATTTCCAAGTAATTTATGTATGTTGATTTTAGAAAAGTTACACCACCCATGGGTTTCTACGTACATTAAGTCAGTTGTTTGTTATAAAACCACGAAATTTCATGCCCACGAATATAAGTGATTTCGAAGTATTTATTTATTTATTTATTTATTTATTTATCTATTGGTTTAGTTCATTTATTTATTTTTTATTATTATTTTTATTTTATGATTTTTTTCCAATAACAAATTGCATTTAAAACTATAGAATTTAAATAGAATGGTTTTCCCTTAATACTTACTTTTATGTGAATAACTTAATAATTTTACATGTACCCAAAATGTATCATGACCATTTAACCAAAACCATCAAGAACTCATTAATTTGAGATGTAACATCAGTAAATGATTTTCTAATGACTCTTCATTAGCAAAACTAGAAAGGGCGTGCATTTCACAAACCTTGTTGGTAAAGGTGGGTCAGCTTTCCCTGCCACTAGCCATGAAGATCTATGGTAGGCATAGCGGTATCTTTTGTTGTCAACCGGGACAATATCCATGAGCACACTGTACTTTGTATCAGGGTCAAGGCCGGTAAATGATACACGGACTGTTGGAAACATGCGCCTGAAAAGAGAGAAATGATTTCATTGATATATAATGTAAGTACATGTATTATACATTTCCATTTTTTTTTCCTGTATGACGACATTTGTGCAAAAGCCATGCTTTGGTGAAAAAGGAAATATTAGTATTAGATTTATTGCTTTTTTATGGATCAATGTTGATATATGTTACAATTACACGCCTCCAATCTTGTGACAATAGTGATATGGCTGTCACAGATAAAAACAACAACAAATAATCAAAATAATTCAATGTTAGTACATGTATTGCGTTGAGACAAATTAAACTGCGTTTGCAAAATATGTGTTCGTGTTTTGATTAATAATCAATAAAATGTTTGCCCCTAAGCAAATAAAAGATGTTACATGTCTGCCGTTTATCTAAGAAATTTCCAAGTTATCTCTTTTTTTCTTACGTATTTGTCTCAAAGGAATTCGATTCCTATGAAATTTGGTGAATATATCACTAAGCTGTTACAATAAACACGTACTATGGCTTTTAGAGCGACTGCTGTTTTTGATGGATAGGCTGATATGAGAACTTGTGAATAAAAACAAATTAAGATTGCTAGAAAACACAATCCAGACGCGGATAATTCGCCGATATCAAATCATTCAATAACTATTCGGTTCGCCATTAGCATGATATCCGAGCCGCCATTTAAACACTTTTATTCCCTGTGGAAAAGCGCTTGGCAAAGTTTTAAGCGTTCGGAGAGCAAGATCTGCACCACGCGACACATAAATCGGCACCAAAATTGGCAAAAAAATCCACTACAGATTTGTTTTGGAATGTGACGGAGCTTCAAATTTTATCACAGCCATTTATCACCTAACAGTGACTATCACTTAGATTTTAGTAATGATTGGCTGTCCCCCGGGACTTTTACTGACGGGAAATGGTAGTTCTTTCATCATAAATTCGCTAAATGACAGTTCCGAATTGCAAATGGTAAATGATGGGTCAAGTCGTATGAAACAATGGAACTTATCTGTATGTTTATCTTGGAAGAGAAAACTAGCTACTCGAAAGTTGTTCAAGTTGTTGCCATGGAGATGACTAGCACAGGGGTACAGTAATTGGTTTTGTTGACGAGAACAAATTTCGTAACACAACTTGGAATTATTGAACTTCTTAAAACAAAGGGATTTAATTGCTTTAGTTCTTTCACACAGTAAAATGATGCATGCGCATCTGTAATTTTGATCAAGAATAAGAATAAAAATATTTGAATGAAAGACTGTTTTGGTTGGTCATAATTGATAAATGATTGTAATATAAAGCGCAACTGAAATTGTTTTGTAATGTAATGAAACATATAGAAAAATCGTGATGATGTTTCTTTTAAGTTTATCTTCTATTCTTTTCTTTCTGTATTTGTTCTTGTATGAACAATACATTATATATTTGAATTTTATGTAAAATATTCAGGAATTTAATATTTTTAAAATGCATATTCAGTTTTTGTATGAAAAGCTTCAATTAAAATTATTTTAACGTGGTCTCTTGTTTTTCGTTAGTTGTCACAATTACAGGATAAACTGTAGCGTAACCCTTGTGACAGAAGTCGCGTAAGACGTCGTAATGACTTGGAAAGATGTATTATAATGGATGGGAGAAGAGATGGCAATTTGTATTTGAGAAAAGGGTCCTAGAAGCTGAAGATCTTGTCTCTAATCGCTTATCATTAATCATGGCAAACAGACAATATTGTTAATGTGTTTTGCTATATCTAGAGCCACTCACATTGTTGGTTTCGAATTTACACTTGAAAAATCTAAATGTGTTTTGCTATATGTAGAGCTGGTGAAATTGTCGGTTTCGAATTCACACTCAAAATTATTCTCCCTCCCAGTTAGCGTAGACGTGGGTTGGGTGTCTATACGTGTCTAAACAAGTACTTAAGTCCCGACAGAATAAGACAAGTAATTATTTAGATGCATCATTTATGTATACACTTGGCATTTTTGCTTACATAAAACATTCGATATGAAATATTGCGATCATTTACGAGTATGAACAGAATATTTCTGCAAGTGTAACTTCAACCATTCATTATTTTGGATGACATCAAATGAAAAATATCAGAAATTAAGCAACTTACATGTTACGAAATGATAATATTTGTAGAATTTAATATAATGAAACATAAATATTCTAACAAAAATCAAGTTAAATGATTTGATTTTATTCATTTGATGATTTTATAATTCGAGAAAAAAAATCTTAGAAATTATACACAAAAAAGAGGAAAAAACACTTTTTTTTTAGTTTTTTAGTTTTGTTTGATAGTGATACATTGTTCTCTTTATTTAAGTATTGTTTTAGAAAATAAGTTTTTTTTATTAAGAATAATTAAAGATTAATAAAATCTGTTTTGATAACCATATTCAGATAGAAATGAATTAAAATAATAATTATAATAATTATTTAGCAAAACTGTCTTTTCAGTTAAAACGTAAAAATGTAAATTTCGTATTCTTTGATTTTCCTTCTTTTATGCCATATCATTTTATTTCTAACTTAAGTATCATATTTCAATACAGATACTTCTATTGAAATTCAAATCCGCCAACAAAAGAATTAAATTTAATCTTAAACAAATTAACAAAACATTATGAAAACATATTACATGATCTTAACAAATTAGTGGTAATATCCGAGAAAGATTTACCATCTTAGATATCATATCATTAAGATATACACAAATATTTTTTGTTAAATAAAATATTACACCGACATTGAGACATAACCTTAAACCATACTGCTCTTTGATGTTCCTTTTAGTGTTAGATTAACAATTAAATGTATTATTTTTTATTACCATCCTTACATATCATTTATCTGTTTTTATGTACCTGAAATTCGGTTGTTTTTTATTCAAGCAAGATTTCTATTCATACAGATGACTTTTTTTCTATGAATATATTAAAAACGTCATCATCATCATCATCATCGTTATTATTACTATTATTATTATTTATTATTATTATTACTCTTTTCAAAGGACAATAAATGAATTAAGTAAGTGAGATTAATTGTCGATTTAAAATTGCAACGACAAAAATGTAAATAAAATAATAATGTTATCAAAATGAGTTGCGCTTGCAGAGCAGACAATAGATACGGCGGGTAATTTTATTATGTCTTGGTGCGTAGTCATTTAATGTTATTTTGTCTTAGACTTAGCCATTGTTTCGTTCCTTAAAACAACAATTTGCAATTGATCGTTTGACCAAAAATCACATATCTCTTGAACATAACTATCTTTCAAATTCTCCCCTTGTCACTCATGTCCAAAATTTACTATATTAAGCCGATGAAGAGCCAAATAAGGTTCTAAATCAGCAGTATTGGTCGCCTGAGGTGTTGCTAAAACAACCACGTGTAGGTGAAAATAGAACGTTTCCAAATTAGATTCGGTAACCACTACAATAAGCGTGTCGAAATGTCCGAGATTGTCTTGAGATGTTGGTCAATTTGATCAGAAAATGACCACTGTCTAAATTACACATTTTCACCCCAAACTGCCCATCACACACTGATGAGTAGGAGATAAGGACGGCGAAAACGTACGGAGGGGTTGATTCACACTTCAGACTCAAACTGTCCGAATGAAAACATATCCAATTTCCAGTGCACAACTAATTTTGGCAGAAATATTTATCACCTTTAAATTGCCTCAAAAATTGTAACCCATTCATTTTGAAAATGACCAGTTGGACATTTGTTTAAACTAGCCATGATAGTATCGTATAAAACTGTCCATTGTTGTTGATAATTACAATTTTCATTGCCTATAATTGGGACTGAAAGGCTGGACAAAGGGATGAGTATTCATCCAACAGTTACAACAGATCGTCGTCCGCATTGACCACTGGGATATCCCGTGGTGTCTAAGCGTCCGGCCAACACTTAACCATATTGCCCGATGTTCTCTTGGTGTAGTCGCGTCTTAGAACACGCGCTTCTTCTTTTTTTTAAATAATTACAGCCTTTGCTTACAATTTTTTAACTGTTCACATAGCATTTTAACACTTTAGAAATATTCAATTTTAGTACATGTTTGCTCCAATCTCTCATTTCATTTCCCAAAGTTCTACGAACGTTTTATGACAAAAATAGAAAAAAATAGCTATTGACAAATATTTCATAACTCTTAAAAGAAGCAAATCCTTTAAATGTACCTTATTGTTAATCTTTCTCTTGATCAAATTCTTATGTAATAAAGGTCTGAAAATTTATCCTATTTTATTCCTTTTTTTCTAGATTTCTATATCAGGAATCAACACTATATTCTTTTATTTCCTCCAAATTGCTGTTTGCATGGTTTTAAATGGTCAAAAGCATTTACCAATAAAAACTAAAACATGGATCAGTGAATAGCTATATATAAAATAAAATAAATTTAACGAAATTTTGACTACAAAAAATCCGAGCCTTTATATATTTAGAAAAAGAGAATTATTTGATATAACCAGTTAATTTCCTTAATTTAGCAGGTACATTCATTTATTTTTTGTCATCATATTTACATGTACATGTATTACTTAAACATTGGTAAATTTTCTTCCTATTTTTTTTAAATGATTATTTTATTTAACCCGAGAAAATACTAATAAAATGCATTGTTCGTCGTAATAATAACAGACATGTATCTGTTAAGTACATTTTACGCTGTCGTAAAGGCACCTGGTGACTAGATTAATATTATACCAGAACAGAACAGAACTGTGTTATGCCATTTTACTCATGGTAAATTTGGGACTGTAAAATATTTTTTTCTTACGAATTTAGATTTGTGAGGGTTTTTTAATTGAATTCTTTCACCAAAATGACAGATTTTTTCTTGTGTGTTTTTATTACACTAGTAATATTATTTAAGTGGTAATTGTTTTTGTACTAGGTCCACTTCAATTTCCTTGTTTGTGTACCTTTTAAATACATTTGAAATTATTCAAAATGAGTGGGTTTTTTTAATATGCGTTTAAACTTTATAAACAATAATTTTGTATAAAGAAAAGAAAGAAATTCGGAAGAAAGGCAAACGGATGAAGAGATATGGTATCAATTTTGTTAATGCATTCTTGAATTACTTTTAAATGACTGACCATTGGTCATCAAAGTGCTGACTGACCGTCCATTTATAACCGTATTTGTTTTCATTGTCCAATTCACTGTTGAAAAGGGATTCCCTTGGGAGTAAATTACAAGCAAAAAGGGCTCACCCCTGGGGGCGGCAACGCGCCGACAGACGGGGCCCAATAGACCCTGGTTAATTATAGTCTCAGTTTAAAATTTATATTGGAGATGACCAGTTAATTACAGACGGGAAGCGGACCTAGTGTTCACTTGTGTAACCTTGGTGATGATTTATACACCTTGATTCTATATCCCTGACAAACATCAGTGTATGATCATTAAATACAAACAGCGACCTACAGTTACAATGTGTCTGCATTTTATTTAAAATAAAATTACATTTATATAATCATATTGAGTTTTCAAAAAATAACAATACAAAAACTAAAAATTGTGGAAATCTAAGAAGTATATTATATAACACATGTCAGTTACTTTTCAAATATGCACTAATTTCGAGTTTCTCAGAACCTTAGAACCTTATTAAGTAATCTAATTAATATGTGACTGCAAGAATTTTTAAGTATATCTCAGCAACGTTGAACGTATTCAAAGATAAATAAAAACAAGTTTTTTATCACGACACTTAATTGATTCCTTGCAAAACTCTTCAACACTAAAAACGAGTACCAATGAAAATCAAATAGCGGAAAGAAGTCCCAAAATTACAACCACTTTATAGAAACGTGCCGTCAATTAATATCATTAAATGTCTGACCACGATTGCACCAAAAACAGCAATTATGAACAGCTTTTCCTGATAGAAAAAAAAATAACTGAGAAAATTCCACTTTAAGCCGATACCGCGGATGACTGGCTGTAATTGCATGTGGGGGACGCATACCGCACTTGTCCGCCATCTTAACTTTCAGTTAATTTAAACAAAATTACACTGTGCATATTTGCATTAGCATCTCAAATGCTCTTCAACCCACAAAAGACCCTCGAAAATTGCTCAATGGTGGAAATTTTCTACTTAAAGGGGGTCTATCAAAGATATCAAGTTTTATAGTTTTACGGACATTTAAGTCCAAACAATATTCGTGCGCGTGAATAAATAGCCGGTTGATTTTAAACAAATATTGGGTTCTTGGTTAAAAAAAGCCGTTAAACTTCTCTCATTGACGGATGGTCATCTTGGAGTTAAATATATTGCTTTCCTCTGACCTAAGCCACTTTACCTTGACATTTAATACTGTGATGTTTCAACATAAATACTGGTGTTTATTTGGCTTTGAAATCCAAATGATCAGAAAATAACTTAATTGGCAAGTTGACCAAAATTGAATATTAGTACTGTCTTTAACCATGTCTTTAACTCTATCAACGAACTGAAAATTTGTGTTATTTTGTTAATGGGATTTTTTCTTCCATTTATTATCCATTTTTCTTATCATAATGCTCGACACTATCTCCTGTATTTATTGAAAATCCTTATCATAATTTACATCCGCTTAGAAAATCATTTTAAGATCTCGTTTTTATTCATATATGTGAGATAAACATGATAAGAATATTACATATGACATGTACTTCTGCGGCCTAAAAAAAAGATAATTATTACCGTTAACATCATATAGATAATCAATCTAATGTGTATTTATACTAAAATGACGGTTTTTGAAATATAAACGCGTCAAAGTCATAAATTATAAAGTGAGTTTGAAATTTTAGAACATGCTTTTCCCGGCTAAATGCGTCTTGTTATTTTGTTAATTAATTCTATTGCACAAAAATTCAACGTCCGACTTAAAGCAAAGTTTCTTGTTTTGTTTTAATGGTAGGAAATGCTTTAGTCAAAGATCAAAAGTTAACAAAGGTACTCGTCAAAAATGAATATTAAATGATTATTTAATTAACGACATATGCGTATCTATCATATATATTCTATCAGAAAAATGACACTAATGTAGGATTTAATTAAGTTAAAAATAACTCTTAGTTAATCTAACAATGGAAAGTGTTGCCAAAAAAAACAAACTAAATCAGTTCTGATGATGAACGAGGCGTTACTCACAATAAATCGTCTGCAAATAAGCCTGCGCGCAGATACACGGACAATTAAGTTTATTTCGATTCATATCTTGCAAACATAACTGATTAAGCTGTATAATCATTCTGAACCTACCTGCCAGTTTTAGTTATAATCATCTCCGTGCCGAGCTCGTGAAATTTATCCCATAATTCTTTTGTTTCCAGACGACATTCGACATCTACTAGCTCCTTGCAACATGGAGGAGACGCCGTTGGACTGACAACATCAATATCCTCACTATCTTGTTCGTCCTCGACCTTCGGGGTAAAAGTTGGTGAGGGTGTGTCCCCTTTTCTCGGGCTTGACAATTCTTCTGAATTAGGGGACTTTTGGGAGCTCAGTGAAGTGGCAGATTCCACAAGACGCTCTGAAAAAAGATAATAAAACACCATTATAAAATACTTTGATTTTAGGACCTGACTTTAATTTCTCAAGAGCAGTTTGACTCTGCTGGCTGAATAAGATTTAATTCAAGAATTTATAGAACCGTGCCTGAATTTTTGCACTGAAATTCATTTTACCATCAATATATAGAGATAAAATATTAAACAAATCGTTCGTATTTTTAAATTAGGAAAATAAAGACTATAAGTGACAACCTTTCGGTTCCAAAAATTGCTTTTTTTAGGTTGCGTTTTTTAGACATTTCTTATTTCTTTATATAAGAAATCTTTATAAAATCTAATTGTGCCAAATAAAAAGTCAAAGAGAAAATATTTCTTCCATATCTTTAATTAAAAATGATCATATTTTCTACATCATATACAACTTTGTACTGATAGCGAACATTAATAATTTGGCCAGACATTAAGGAAAAAAAGACGATTCTTTTTTTGTTTCAGACACTTTGAATTTTCTCTCAAATTTTGATAACAATCATAGTGCCACACATCACGCAGTGAGCATTCTTTGCAAATTTTAACGATCCACAATTATAGATTGAATATTTTATGGTCTGAAAAAAAAATCACACGCATTATGGCATTGCAGCACAAACCAAAAAATTACTTGATTTTTCGCGCCAGATATTCTTAATCTTAGGGTTAATTTAATTTCATTATCAAGCAAAAAAATCAAATTGTATTACACATTATCAGTTTAATTGTGATTTTGTTATACAAATGTGTTTGAATCCTACAACAATATAACAATATAACAATATAACAACGCCCGTTTCGATCACCATCTGTATACAACGATACCAGTAGTATAGTATATCATTTATCAAAACTAAATATTTGTTTAGATAAACGATTTTTATCAAAATATATCATAGTAACAAAAAAGATTCATATCTACGAAAATGTGACGATTTTCAAAATAAAGTAATTGATTGTGAAGATTGGGTAACTGATTATTTTATTGTGAATGTCAGTCGTTTACACGGCAAATTTGTTGTCGAGTTATCAGATTTTATATTATTGTGTTCAATTTTAATTCTGATTTTATTTCTAAATTTGATACGTACATGATTAAGATTTTATTTTCAATGTGCAAAGGCACGTTTTTCAGTCGTAATAATATTGTAATTTATGAACGTGAAATTTTGGCGATATTTGCTCTTCTTTTGGAGGAAATAAAGATATTATTATTGTTGTTATCATTATTCATTAATACATTAGGGAACTATTTTTTCCCCTCTTTGAAGGGAAATGAACTATTTATATATATACTTAAACGAGGGGTATTATACAAATGGACAAAGTATTGAAAATGATTACGGGATGTTTGTAAACTATAAAAGTATGATAAGAAATGAAATATCTTAATACAATAAGAAATAAAATATTTTAGTACAGTAAAAAAAATATTTTAGGAAATTAGAAATAACATATTTAGGAACAATTCTATAAATAAAATATATATTGAAAATTAAATGATAACACTTTTTTGAATAAATTTATACATGTACATTTACAGTTTTAGTGTGCATATTTATAAAATTAAATATGTGAACATTTTATACGCTAAGCTTTAGACTAGCTTAATCTATTTTGAATATGCAGTCAAGCCATAGTATGTTCCCCTCATTTGTTTAAAGAAATGTTTAAAAAAATACTTGTTTCAAAATAAAATTGATATGTTTTCTTATGTAGTTTTTATCCTGTTATGTTTTGATATATTGCTATAGTACGTCCACGTTGGCTATACAACCTTTGAAGTTAGTTGAAAATATATTTTAAACGTTTAGTAAATTTGCGAAATAAACATAAGTTAGACAGAGTATATGTTATTGCTCTGAACGAGCGAATAAAATACAGTGACAATTGTTTGTATCATTAAAAAAATGTAAAATTACATATGTTTTTAAATGAATTTGACAGAAAGCCACTAATTTGTGGAAACATATAATGTACATTATTCAACGTTCTAAATTATATACATATTTGATATACAATGGTATATTTTATCCACAATCATATATACAATACTAGCATGGTATTGAACATTTATTTTAAATAAATTTAAAGAATAAGATGTAAAAATATATAAATACAGGTCAAAATATCTTAATATAAACATAAAAAATACCAATATAAATTTAGAAGCATGTTAATTTGACTTTTTGATAAAACCAGAGTTAAAAGATTTCTTACTTATTTCATGTTCTAAAAAGAAAGGGGACATTTTCTGATTGTCTTCCCATTTCTTTAAAACAGACTTTTGAGTCAGTGCATGATACTTAGTCTGATTGTTGAATATTATTATATCATGGTACCTTGTAAAGCATAAGTAATATAAGTTTATGTTCTTGTTCTTAGAAAATGAAAATTGTATCGTAGCTTTGTATATTTCATCTTGAATAAAAAAAATGCTGTCTTTATAAATTTATATAGTTTACGTTTTGTTGTTATACTAACCTAAGGGAGCTATTTGTATATCTTATCTTGAAAAAAAATGCAGTCTTTATAAATTTGTAAAGTTTCCATGTTTTGGTGTTATACTAACCTAATGGAGCTAGTGGAATTCCGTCGGAATGTCGGACTCGTTTCGCTGGCGGTGAATCACACGATGTTCTTTTTTGTAAAACACAGTTATCTTTATCTTCGTCGGGTGAATTTGCCGACGAAAAACCACATGCTTGCATTTTCTCAAGCGTCCTTTTACCAATTAAAGCGTCAATAGAAAATGCCGATGCTTTCGTCGACATTTGGCACTGGGATTTTGAAAAGTTTAGCGGACTATTTCGTTCACGGTAACTTCCGACGGAAGAGTTTGAATCCTCGCTTATGTGATCCATATTTTCAATAAAAATTAATAATGTTTGTCTATATATCACAGACTTACAAGGTAAAACAAAACTTTATTATGTTTATCATTTATTGAATATTACAGAATAGAGCATAGTTTTCCATAGATGTTCGTGTTTATATTATCCATGCAAAATGAAGCTTAAGATGATATCCTTAAATCCTTTTTAAGAAAAAAAGCTCGTACAATATTTTGATGGCAACATAGGACAGATTGTTAGCATGATTTTTAGAATCACTTGACGTAAAGTTGTATATCTTTTACATTCATCTCAAATTTCAGTCTAACTCCGCACCTTTTTGTGTGAAAGCCTCCTATTGGTTAATAGATATTTGATGTGAGCCAACCGCTACGCGTAATACTGTGAGGTCTCGCGCATTGGATTGGTTATAATCCGATAGCCCGATAATAGTCCGCTCTCCCCAGAGAACGGCGGTATTGAAATATAACTATATCACCGCCTAGTTTGGCACATTCAGTATCAACAGATGGAGAAATATGTCTTTTTGTAACGAAAAGATGCCTCAAAGGATAAACATGCATTTTTTAAACGATAAGTTATTTGAAAAAAGACAGATTGGGATGTTTGTAAAATGTTTTATTTTCTAGTGAAAAGTATAGGGATTCTTTTTTGTTTACATTTTTTCGTTCTTTTTTTTTTCTTCAAATAACAATTATTTATCAACGCAAATTTATATCCCTGTTAATTACGATTTTTTGACATTTAAAAATATTTGCTTATCAGTTGATATAAGACAGTGCAGTTTTAGTTAAAATGGCATTACTCGTCATTTAATTTGTTTTCTTATATTTTCCGTGTTGCGATTTACTTCGCCCTTTATCATATATAAGATCTTGTGCGTGATTTTTGATTCCACTTTAAATTCCAGCAATATTTCCCTTGCCTTCTATGGGGCATAGCCTGTAATTTTAAATTGTAAGCAGTCTAGATAAAACATAGATTTTAGTCCACATTACTTTTATTTTTCCATACATATTTCATATATATCGTGTAAACTTTACTGCTGACGTCAAATTGTTTGTCTTTAATATCCATCAAAAACGTCAAAATTTGCAAAAACGATTTTTCTATATATCAAATCTTGGATTTAACGTCCTAGAAATTGACAAATTATAACTCGAATTAGTACCAAAAGCACATCTGTCTCCACTAAGTCTATAAAACTTTATCCAAAAACCCCCATTTTCTCACTGTCTTATAAATATTCATAGAGATTCACGCTATATTTCCATACAACATAGATCATTTTAGGCTACGGGCCATAATTCTAACAGCTTTGGCTATTTTTCTACATTTTGATAACTTTACCAAACATTTATAAACCTTTATAAACCTACTAATTTAGTTGCTTAAGACCCTTATTTGAAGTAAATAAGCGCCATAACGAATTCTGGACAGCGTATTATGGTTTTCTTTGGGTAATAGATATGTATAACACAAAATTATTCAAAACTACAGTATCTCGCGTGGAATTAACTAAACGTTTATGGCGCCAGGGAAAGTAAGAGCGACTTAGCGTGTATGATGAGCAGGATCCCGGTGGCAAAGGGCCAGATTCAAAGACGATAACAACCCGAGTATTTAAAACCATTTTCAAGAGAGGGAATTACACAGAGCCTATCGCCTTCCGCGTGCATATTTTCGGCGTAATTCGGGGCCCTCCGGGAGATGAAAATTATTCAAATCAATTTTCTAAGGGAATTATAGCAATCGAAGTGGCATTGTTTCACTTTCAGTAACAGATGTAGTAATATACATTGATAACTAGGTTCTATACGGAGGTTAACAGTCTCGCTCATTGCGAGCAAAAAGAAGTGCGACCGATTCCGAAATTTTATGACTTTACCTCTCATATTTATTGAAAAGAAGATATTAAAATTACAAAAAGTATATGTTGGTCAATTAAAAATATAGAATTAAAAAGATTAAAAAAATTGTATAGGTAAAAACAAAAATATATCGCATTTAAAATTGATAAATGTACATGTACTTTGAGATTACATATACTTTGAGATTACATGTACTTTGAGATTACATGTACTTTGAGATTACATATACTTTGAGATTACATGTACTTTGAGATTACATGTACGGATTATCGTATTAATTACACAGTGCAGTCTCTAGATTTGTGCTGTAACCAAATATTTGAAACATTTTCAAAGCTGGTAAAAATGATGCCAAGTGTTATAATAAATAAACAGTCCCTATGTTATTTGATTTACTATCTACATAGTTTATCAATATAAAAAAAATCAAACATGACAAATTATGCAGAAATAGCGCTTTCTCCGTTAGTAACGGGGGTTAGAAATATTGAGAAAAAAAATAGTATACATTTTGTAATCTTTTATCTTTGCATCAAACATACAAAGTGTCACTAAGTATTGGTGTGTTAATAACTTCACATTTTTCTGTATTTTATTGCCTTATTGTTATATTAATTTCCAGAATTTCTTTTACCAATCCTGAGGCATGCAATTTTAAATGCATAACACAGTAGAAGCGATCCCTCATCGTGCTTAATTTTTGCGCTTTTATATTTTAATAATTATTGACGTAATGTATTGGTACATTAATGTTTTATATTGAGTGTAAACTTTTATTATATATGAATGTATTGTCATGTCGATAAGCTTAAAATAAACTTCTGTTCTAAATATCTAAAAAGAGGGCATAATTGTCGTAACTGCTGCGTATGAAATATTTGCACTTTACTTTTCTATTAATTGGTCAATGTGTAAATCTTTGTATACTGTATCAATGTAAACACAGAATGCCTGGTGCAACTAAAATCAACGAAATAAATTATTTAGCATGTTTTCGTTTCTGAATAAAAAAATCGTCTTTAATTCTTGAAGTGCAGAATTTTATCAAGAGTTGTGTAAGGGAAGTAACGCAGTAACAGTAACAGAACACAATGTATTTCCGGAAGAGTTCTGTCCCTTGAAAGCAATCTGTAATGCAGTTCAATAGAATTAGTCAGTGAAGTGTCGCTACTAACATTTAACTTTTAACAAGCGCGCTTTTTAAAGTGAAATACATATTTACGTCCAACAACTTATAAAACATGGCAATTTAGTAAGCGATGTTTAAACAATACACTTTAGGAATCTTTAAGTTGAACAATAATGCATGCTACGTACAATTTATGATAGATACTGATCAACAACTCATGATAGGTACTGATCATGAATATACGTCGCCTTTGTCGTTTTACATGTTCTTCTAGGCTGTCCTGATGGTAACAAGAACTCTGTTGTCATTACAAGATGATTTCCATGCTCGCTAAATATTTTTTTTTTGTTAATTCAATCATTTTTTAGATTGTTTATATATAATTACAAGATCAAATGGCAAAACAAAATTTCAATGATTTCTTTCCGGTCCGATAATAGAGACACTGAATACGATTGTTTTTAAATCGCAACTTTCAAAGGACGTCCATTTTGACATAAGTCATGTGCAAATAGAACTGTGACGTGAAGTGGCTGCGTTTGGAGCTTTTCGCACGTGTATATTATGTATTATATTTAGACATATGTAATTTAACATGGTTATTGGACAGCACGGCATGAATGTAGTACACGTGTATTTACTAAATATATAAATGTTATAACTTATCTTATTCATTAACTGTTCCGATTTGTTTCAATATATGATTGACTAAGTTTGAACCACCGCTGTTTAAGCAATAGTAAAAAGTTACATTATTTTGGGTAATCCTTGATGTTTTAAGAAATACTCACTTTTATTTTCTACCTTAACATGTTTTATAATAACAAGTGACTCTATGATTCCATGATTACTTATTTGATAATGGAACAAATAAGTCAGACATCTACAGGTAAGAAATGGTAGACACCAAGCGCATGAAAATAGCAATTGTTTTAAGAGTGAATCGCCATTCTTTTTTTCCAGGAAATTATAAATAAATGAGATTAAAACTGGGCAGGATTCCTATCAGTCTTCTCTAATGGTACCAGTCTTGAGCATACTAATGATTCCCATGCTCTTTCTATTTGAAATACCCTGTGCTTGCATAAGAGGTCATTTATTTGTAAAAATTCCCTTCTCAAACGTCAAACTTGTGCGAGCATAAACACTCTCTGAACTGCAAGATATCCACCTTTACACGTTTCCTGAATTGAGATGACGATACATCTTTGAAAATACTGATCTGATAGTTTAGGGAGCATGATACCGTACTGTTTCCTTATATGTAGATGTCTTGCTTTTTGAGACGAGTATACACGTACAAGCAAATACAAAAGAATCCCACAAATGCATTCAATGTATAATGGTAAAAATAATAACATGTTGTTTGAAATATTATGATAAAATTTGATTTTATACATAACATACAGGAGCAAACTATACGTTCCCACTATTTATTTAACTTTTAATCAGTTTATAGTTTGTCTTCATAACTTATGACAAGTGCGATGCTACTATGAGATTTTTGCACATAAAAAGTTTGTCGGCATTTTTGCAACCTTTTAATAAGCTCACTTTTAAAACTACCAGACCATTCCCGTGTTTTAGTCCTTGCTGTTGTAAATGTATTTTAGATTTTATTCAATACTGTCATGGTTCTTAAGAACATGTGACATAAAATACAAAATTTGAACATGTAACAACCGAAACACAGAAAAATATACATAATATTAATATATATATAAACAGGAGAATGAGTGACAAATTATATTGTAACCATAAAAATAAAATAAAGATATGACTACATTCTTCAAAATAACCGGAATTTATGCTTCGATAACAAAATTCTAGGAGACCAATGATAACAACATTATAGTTATTATTTACATGTTATGATTATTTCTTTACAAAATAAAGCAAGTTTTTTTAATGTGATTTGTTTTTAATTTCTATTCATAAGATCTTCAAAATTCAATGCATTAGGATATCTATAATAATACGGTATTAATAAATTTACGTCTACTATTAACAAAATGTGAACAATAAAAAAGATAGTGAAATTCGTCACCCAGTTGATTTGACTCACATAAAGTACATATACGTTAATTTCTTATTGGCATTTTATGTGTAAAAGCTTTCTTTCTTTGTGGTATTTTTAGTACTTTAGGTTTAATAATGCTCCGTGTCATTAATATGATTGGTGCAAACGTTTCGTGAGTAGGAACAAACTTTGATGTGTAAAAAATATGTTGGACATTATTTTCTTTTATTAAAGAATATTTAATCCCAATTGTGATAATTTTGTATGTTTATTTGTTGTTGAAGACAAGTTGTACGGTAGATTTTCAGTGACGAAAAGTATTTATCGCATTTAAGTGCGATTTGTTCGTCCTAACATCAGTTCGTACTGCGCAGAATGATTATCAGTAAAATTATTAAATTAAGAAATTACGCACGATTTTAATGTACGTTCTATATCTTTTTTCAAAAGTACATTTTTAGCAACTTGTATATTTTGAGTGTGATGTATTTTATCTTTCTAAATTTCATGCTCAGTGAAGATGATTAAAAGTAATAAAACAGAGAAATGAATAATAGAATGATAATATGAAAGGGTAGACCGGTAGTAATAGAATGTGAAATGGACTCCATTTTGCGAAATGAACTTTTCGACTACGAAATGGACATTTGTTTCTTAAATTTTGGTTTAAGTGTCACTATTTAATATCTTTTTAGATAACGAACAAGTGAAATATGACATAAAATTACTATTTAAACAAATTTGGTAATATTTTTTCATTATTTATGCTTGTACATTTGGAAATACACGTATAATAATGCCACATAGTTCAGTGTTTTATACATGGTCTTTTAAATAGAAAGATTCTGTTTTATAGGATATTTAACCTAGGACAAAAATATTTTTGTCGTCCCTGATTAAATATAAGTGAATAGAAAAGATACCCTTTGTGACATGTCAGTTACACCATAATTTGTAAAGCAAATGTCCATTCCGTAAGCGAAAACTCCATTTCGTGGCCGAAAACTCCATTTTGTAGGGGCCAGATTATTTTCCGAAATATGAGTATAAAATAGGAAAATAGTAATATTAATTGGTTCAATCTGTAGTTTTATGTCATATATTAAACATAAATTAATAAAAATAATATTACTCATCACGGTTAAACAAACAAATGTCCATTTTGTAGGCGGTAAGTTCATTTCGCGAAATGGAGTCCATTTCGCATTCTATTACAACCCAAGGGTAGACAGATGTTTCATTATTCAGACAGTTCACACCCAAAAGATGTTTTTCTCCCATTTTATACCAAAATTATTCTGATACTTATGATATACTAAAATAGACCCTATATTAACTAAAGAATGAACTGAAAATGGGGATTTCATGTTTTGTCCATGACTTAAAACTCAGGACTCTTTGATCCCTTTATGAAATTATGTTGGCCCATAGAATATCTTTTCTGATATTTATTCTTATTTAGGGGAGGATATCATATATATGTTTGACTGGATATAATTGTATGATTAAAGTTACAGTTCTTAAAAGCTGTTAATGATAACAATTCATAAGTGATTTTATTTTGTATTTTTATCTTAATAAGTAAAAATATCATCTAAAAATCATCTAACATAATTTATTTATAACTTATTATCTGATGTAATACTAATATTATTTTATTTTTGTTATAGTCTATAAACAAAACTTACAGAGGAGTTTCTGTTTCCAAGACTTTGGATTTAATTGGGTGAACATTTCTAAAAATATTTCAATGGTCCAATAAACAACTGATAAGTAACTGTTGATGCTAAAGGTAGCACTCCACACTAAATTTCAAGTTTCTGCCGTCAATGTCCTACAAGCAATATGTCTGATAAATCTGATCCCAAACTACACAACCTGGAAAAAGAAAACACATTTTGTTAAGAACATGTATGTCATAACATTGCAAATCTGTAATGAAATCATCCCATGTGCAACAGTCAGGCAGTTAAAAAAATTCCAATTCATTCCGTAAAAGCCAAAAATCTATAGTGGTCCGAGACCCAAAACAACATTTTTCGTCCCTCCGGCAAAAAATACCTGCAAATATACGGTCTACAGAAACTAACTCTGTCACTGCTTTAGCAACTCCCTATACATGCAAAATATCACAAAGAAATAGGTGCTTGGCCTTGTTGATTTTTTGCTATTGCTGAAAGTTTGTACCCCCCTGTATAATTACTTGCTTTCATTGAGCATGCTGTTTAAAAGCAATGTTTACAAACAATGGCGGCCTTGACATCAATAAATATCAGCATGTGATTTCTAACCATGTTTTCGAATTTGCCAATGATCATATTACATGTCACAAAAACAAATTTCATGCTGAAAATGCATTTTAAAGACAACCAGTCATTTAAATCCACAATAGTCACTATATCCATAAAATCCTCCCTCCCTGGCCATTCGAAGCTGTGGCTTCATTTAGTGTGGTGTGCTGCCTAAAGTGCAATGTTTATACAACTAATTTAATAGTGATGTCAAACTGTTAGTTGATGGTTTCAGCGTTTATACAGCTAAGTAGGTGATGAGATTACTGTTAACATCATAATTACCTATCTTTGTTTAATGGCTACTGTTCAATAAAATGATAAAGAAATAATTTAAAAGAATAATTGATTTTATACACATTTTTAAAATTTCATTGTTTTATATTTACTAAAAATGTATATATTTAGTATATTGATATTATTTGTTATTTAAAAATATTAATTACTGTACTGGTAGTGGTTTCAGTATTCAAACTGATACTTATAATGTGTCTTTGTTGTTCATGAACATTTTCATTTCTATGTTATTCTATTATCTTTCTTGATAATTTGATTTATTATATATAGAATTTTCTCATGTTGTTACTCTTATAATAAAAATGATATTTCAGTAATTTGTCTTTCATTTAAACCTCTTATCATTCAACCCATACTTAAATGAGTATAATGATAATCTTCTAATAATATTATTCATCATAATTATATTCTCATCAAAACCAATATTTTTACTCCAAATAATTAACAGGATTTATTCACAGAACAAAATTCACTTTTCTGAGCTGATACTGTACTGGTTAGATTATTATTATAATTATTATTATTTACACATTCTGTTATATTTCAGAAAAATTATACTTTTATAATCTTTCTCCAAATTCATAAATTCTTAACAATACTCTCAAATTCAACAAAATGAAACATTAAATTTAATTTCTAAAAAAATGGGAGAAAAACATCCATACAATTGGCAGAGTGGGAGTGAAACGTCTAGGTGTGATTCGTCTTTGGAATGAAACGTCTCAATTAGTAAAATGTCTTGGGCATTCATATGAAAGTAGGCTAAGCCTATGAACAGGAAGATCATATAAAAAAATGTTAATTTTTTATTTTACAATTTTCGACTTTAAAAGTGTCATTCTGTATTTCAAGCACCGTTTGCGTTTTCAATCGAAAGACGTCTGTGATTATTCTTTAGCCAAAAAGTTGTGATTGGTTGGTAATTGGAATACCCCACCATTTATCATTAAAAATGGTGGCGACCATCAATAAATGATATGTATAGAATTCTTAATTCTATATTGTTTTTTAAATTTGATTTCCTTTTAAATATACATACATGTGTAGTCTACAGCAGGGCAAGCCAGTCTACATTTTGCAGGTCATCGACTGTTTTTTGCATGGAACTTACTCTTACTACAAAGTCTAAATGAAATTTTATTGCTTTATATTACAGGTTAAAAGTTTGATCTGACATGCAGAGATGTGAATAAAACATTTCTAAAAAGTCACATAAGTAATAAAGAACCATTGATGAAGGATTTAATTAAGTTGTGATGTTAGAGAACTTATTTCGAGGTAGATTGGGAAGAATGACTGGATCATTTCGAAGCAATGTGTGGGACCCTGTACTTATTACCAGTCAGATAATCAGTCTACAGTGTCAGTTTATAGTGACGCTGGGAATCTGGGTGTATATACTCAACTTTATCTGCGGATATGATACTACCATAGACCAAATCTTCAAACAGGCAGTAAGTGGCACTAGATTGTTCTTAAATAACCACTGGTAAAAAAGTCATTTAATCAAACCCATTCCCAATGGCAAATACGCTTATTTTTCTTATCTTTAATTTTAAGTCAGAATCGAACTAAAATTCCCGATATCCAAACTGTCATATTTGCTAAATTTCATTCAAACAACAGAATAAACTGTATAGAATTGAAATTGAGATGATTATCATAATTCAGCACTGCAGAAATTATTATTATAATTGAATTGTTATTTTAATACATATTTAATGAATTACACATGTGAAAAAAAATTATTGAAAGGGAGGAAAATTGAGTCTTATGCCATCAAGTTACTGATGAATTTCAACTGTTTTATTATTTCAGGATAAAGGTTTATTCACAGAAGGCCCGGGCAAAGCAAATACAATAGCATATGCATTAAACTGCTTAACCAGGTAATAAACTTGTATTACATTAAAAGGTATATTATATATAAAGTTGATTAAAGGCCTTTTCAAGGAAATTCTGTTTTCATATATAACTCATGTGACTGTGTGTTTAATGATAAAACCATGTCTTTGTTAAATCTTTTGCCAACTAAGACCATCAAATATGAAAACAATATGATTTTGCAGGTTTTGAAGTTTCCTAATTTAGTAAATTGTGCCAGCTTTTTCTGATTTATAATGATTCTAAAGAAGCTTACCTGCTTCAGTATGTTACTGTAGAGTGTTTTTATTGGTGAAATATAACTGTTAAAACTGGTGCAAAAACAAAGACAAAAATACATTAAAATATCGTAATAAGTACATGTATTTTCAGGCAAGTACAAAGTGAATGAATTTCTAATCTATAATTATATTACTATTTTTCAGTGCTTTGGGTCTCTGGTTCATAGTAGGAAGAACAAAGCAGTGTTTAGACTTTGCTGTTACAATGCACTTTATACAGTTTATCATATTTTGGATTTATAATGGACATATACCACATACTGTATCATGGTGGATTTTAAATTTAGTTGGAGTGACTTTAATGACAGTGCTTGGAGAATTTTTATGTATGAGGACGGAGATTAAAGCCATTCCAATAGGTATGGGGCCAAAGGTTGACTTGTGATAGATTTTGTATGCTGTTTTCTTCTCGGTATGAACATTGTGTGCGGAATGCGAACAAACTGGTTTTTGTGATATATTTAAGAATTAGTTTCAAGGCTTCTTATAAATCAAAGAAATTGGGGACCAGTCTTGTAATGGAGGTATTTATTTGGTCATTTTCTAACTGGTGCCCAGGATTCACCAATCAAATGCCTTGGTACATGGTTGGTCCTCGGTTTCAAGTAATAACATGCAAGTCTTGGGCTGCTGGTATTTATTTATATCGCGTTAAAGAAGGATTTCTTCAGTACAGAGAACAATAGTTAATTTTGCAATTCTTGTCATTTTAATCAAGTAAACAAAAAATATTCATCGAACAATATTCAAAAAAAACTTTGTACCAAAGATCAGGAAATGTGCATAATGCTTTGTAATAACTGAACATGTAAATTTCTAAATACTGACTACCTACAATGTATTGTTCAGCCTACACTTGAATTTATTTTAATGAAAATTATAAAAAAAAAAACATACATGAAATTTCTATTTTGATTCTTAAAATGCTTTGACTTGAAATTGATTTTAATCTGTAGTTTACACTCATTTAAAATTAAAAATTAACTGGATAAATATGTATTAAAATCATACTATTTTTTGTTTATTCATGTGCATGATAAAATGTACCTGTGGGAGAATGGGGAATTATTTAATGTATCAGTATATTGTGCTTAGTTCAATATCACACCAATATGCTGGGACAACAAGTTAGTTATATATTTTGATTTTCATTGTACATATCATACACTGAGCCATATTATGATTGAAACATTTCAATAGTGCTTTCAAAATACTAACTTATAAAATTTGAGTCGCGTCATGACAAAACCAACATAATGGGTTTGCGACCAGCATGGATCCAGACCAGCCTGCGCATCCGCGCAGTCTGATCAGGATCCATGCTGTTCGCTTACCAACCCTTTTACAAGTAGAGAAATTAATAGCAAACAGCATGAATCCTGATCAGACTGCACGGATGCCCAGGCTGGTCTGGATCCATGCCGGTCGCAAACCCACTATGTTGGTTTTGTCATGATGCGGCTCAAATGTCATTTTGTGTGCTTTTAAGTTGTTTGGATATCATTTTTTGTTTCAGATTTTTGAATTATTGTTTTTTGGTATATAAGCATATATCATAGCATGCATGTAAATGACAATGATAAAGTTCCCATTTTGCTGAAAATCTAATTTTATGAGTACAAAGTTTGCTAAAAGCAATTTATCATTTTAGAGGCAGCTTGAGCTAATAGTTTGACCGTCCCGAGCTGGATTTAAACAGTCTATAAATAAACATAAAAGTTCTCTACCATTATTTATTTAGAATGAATGAAAATATAGATAAAATGTAGTCATTGCTATAAACAACATTTCACGATTAAATTGTAACATGTGCATTTGTATTATAAGAATAATCTTATTAAATTGGTCAGATAAAGTGCTTGTATGAAAGAAACAAGTTACAAATTTGTCCAAAAAAAATCTCCTTTCAAATGAAACAAATTCTTCCCTCTTGCATTTATGTGTATGAATTAAAATAGTTGTCAACAGTAGTACCCTACTACTTCAACTTTAGATTATGTTTTTGAATAAATGGCAGAATTACAAAAAAAAAACTAGATTTTTTGTATTTTAATATTTTTATCACGAGTCTTGATTTTGAATCTATTTGTGTGAACTTATTTGTATACTGATATCATGAAAAACTTGCCTGGAAAAATTGTCTTATACATTGTATATGTTTATTGAAACAACCATAGAAAATTCCAATGTTACAGCACTTTGATTTTAAAGGATACTACAGAAATTTTAAGCAAAAGATAATTTATTGTGAAATAAGTTTATTTGCAAGAACAATTACATGTATATTTATATTTTTCTTGAAAAGATTATGATTTGATTTACATGAAATATCTTTCAGTGCATGTGTGATATGTGAGTGACATGTTACCACAGAGATTCTGGTCAATTATTATAGTGTATAATATAAAGAATAATTATTCTGAGAGTATGTAGTATGTAAACTTTCAGCTAGAAAGGGTAGGTCTGTAATATTGAGTCAAACTGTTGTATATTAGCAGAACTCTGGTTATATGAGAAAACAAGTGTTTATTCTAGGCCATATATCATATCAAAACAAATTATAATAACACTGCTTAATTGATTTCTTTGATCAACATGAAAATTAATTGAAAACTTAGCAGCAGCCTTGTACATGTATATAGACACCATGATTATCCAATGAAATTCAATATTGCAAACATGCTGTATTAAAGAAAAAAGTGGTATATTTTTCAATAATACATATGTAAAGAAATGTACATGTATTAAACTTGTGTGAACATTTTTTGTCGTAGTCTTCTAATAAGATTTTTTAGGCTATATTTAGCATCCTATATAATTCAAATACTTACACACTTATCATGCTTATATAAGTTATTATTTCGTAAGTTAATCAAACAAACCATAAAGAATTTATATTGAAATATTTGAGTCTTGAGCTGCTTTATTTAAATAGGCTTATAATAAGTAAAATAAAGTTTCCTTTTAAAAGGAAAGGCTTGCACAGTTGTGCCTTCATCCCAACCCTTTAAAATTGTTTTTTTTTTTTTTGTTTCAATTTATTGTCACAATTTTTTTTGAATTACGGTATTTGTATATCGTAAAGGGTTTATTTATTTTTTTTTTTGTTTTTTTTTTTTGGAAAAACGAATATTTTTTGTCATCTATTCTCTATTGTATAAAACTAATAAAGAAAATGATCAATCGTAAAAATACTAACGTGGAGATCTATCTATCATACCAGGGTCTTTCAAATAGAATTCTATTTGAAAGACCCTGATCATACTGAAGGGAAACAAGTGTGCACATTTCATTTCCCTTTTTCGCAAGAGAAATTCATTCGTTTGGCTTTATAGACAAGTAAATGCACTAAAATACTTCGTTAACGTGGTACCTAATTAATAAGCATGTATCAACTATGTTAGCACGATCACAAAATACACGTGGCAAGGTTAATGATATGCATGGGCTATTTTTAGATTACCTCACCAAGAAGGTTGAAATTGTGTTCAGTAAGATCTAAAGCACGTGGCAAAGGTTAATGATATCATGGGCTTATTTTTTAGATTACCCACCAAGAAAGTTGAATTTGCGTTCAGTAGATCTAAATATAACTTCGATCATGCGTGATTTGGGTAAGCAGGACCACCCTTTGAAGACGGAAATACTACTACATGTATCATTCTCTATTGTATAAAACTAATTAATACAGAACAAATGACAATTATAAAGAAACTACTTTTTGCTGATCTTGAAAAACAAGATTGACGGAACAATTTCGTTTATATTCATTAATAGGGATATTAAACCGCGATAAATTCAAGTATAAAATGGTAAATTCCTTTTTATATAAAACAAACTGGATTACCGGATAAGTAACTAACTAAATAGCTTAAAGATTCCGTAAATAATTACTTCGTTGATTCCGCAGTATGACGGAATCGCCCGAATTGTCACGAATTGCAATCGGACTACATCGGCTATTATATCATTAATCCGAAGAAGTGAACGGAAAACTGGCCGAAACAGTTGCGATTGGCACGAATTTGGCAGCTGGTTTCCCGTTCAATCATGCACTAACAATTGGAAACAGGAAACCACCTTACCGGAATAAGTTATTCAAAACAAATGGCTCAAAATATACATGTATATAAAAAATTTAATGAGCTTTTCAATCTAATGTATGGTTATTTCGGGTGCTTAGTTTTCACCAATATTTATTTAGTTAAAACATTTGTAAAGAATAAATAGTAAAGAATAAGAATTCAACAGCAAATTCTTAAAATTCCCTTCAATCTTTTCTTGTGAACAGCCTTTTTCGAGGTACATACAATGTAAAAATAAATATTTGTAAAGAATAAAATGTGAAAACTTATTTGGAATGTACTAGAATGCATGTATAAGTAAACGGCAATGCCTGCATGTATATACACTTTATTTTAATGTCACATAGTATTATACAAAATGTACTAGTAATCCCATATACACTTTGTGAGTGCTAAGTAAAAAGATTTTATCCGTAACATTTTTTATAATAGTTAAAAGTTGCTGTACATCTCTTTATAAACAACAGAAGAATTTAGGATCTCAAAAGGTGTGTTATATTGGTGATGTAACTGTTATGGTATGACAAGTGTATTTGATTATTTATAAAGTCTGTCTTATGGCAATATGTGTAAATTGTTATTTTACATGTTTAAAAAATAAATTTATGTAAAGCAATTTTGGGTCAGTTTTTAATTTTCATCCAGCTGTTTTATTGATGTTTTGTTGTTGGTTTTTTTTTTTTTTGCTCATAGGTATTTATGGTAAGACATTTTATGTGATTTTGGCCAATGGGACCTGAATTTTGGACATGCATGTAAAAGTTTTGCTTTGGTCAAGCTTTTTCTCTTACCTTGAAGTAGTATCTTGACCTTGGACGTAGAGACTTGGCTCATGTCTCATGGTTGGCATCTGTGACTGAGTGGTTAAGGTGTTGACTTTAAACCACTTGCCTCTCACATCTGTAGGTTCAAATTGTGCAAGCTTCGTTAGATTCTCATGAGCGACAACTATGCAGCTGGCTTACAGAATGTCGGTGATTCTACTCATGTGCCTATTTATGCCTGAAATAATGAACAGGGGGGCACCTGAGGCCTCCCTCACCAATAAAGCTGGAAAGTTGCCATATGACCTATACTGCTTAGGTGCGATGTAAAATTCAACCTATAAAAAGTAAAAATGAAATCAGTCTGTTGAATATAGGACTTAATTCAAAGTGAATCAAACAAAAATAAACCAGAAAACAGTCAAGAGTTCTTTATCACAATTTTATTACCTTTTTTACACGGAATATTGCACACTTAATGCACACTAACATGTTTTACATACATAACAAAACAAATACCTTTGTATATTAACATATGAAGATAGCGAGATCAAATCTCATCTAACCATTGTCAAATTTTGTTAAATCCATTTACATAATGATATATAATAGCTTTTGTACTGTAACAAATATTTAAAGCTATTCATTTATACAAGAACATAAATTATGTAAGTTTCTAAAATGTCCCTTGACTTCCAAAAAAAATTACAAAATTATCTCAAAATTACATAGGATAGTGCATACTTATTAAATTAATTTTAGTAATCAAAGTATTAAAAGTACTGGTGCCATTGTATTTCGTAACTTTTCAGGAAAGCGAATTGGTCAAAATTCAAATTTATGACATAAAATGGGACTGTCTCTTGAAACGGTCTAGTGCATAAACATTTTTTCTCCTATAGTTGGTCAAAAGGCCTAGGATTTAGAATTAACATAGTACTCTCCGTGAAAAGCAGCCGCGGGCCCAGAGATGATTTATTTCTATTAGATAAATAAGATAGCAGCAATATTCCATTTCAAACTAAAAAGGATGATAAAGATAAATTCCATCATGAATGTAAAGGCCTGAAATTGAATCATTTAAAATAACAATCCAACATACAGATTGTTTTCATTATAAATAACAAATATTTCATACTTGAATTTCTGTAACTACACAAATGAATTCATCTAAACAATATACATGTGTATTCTTAACAAAATGTATACACCGAAAAAACTATACTGTTTCACAAACACAACAAAATAGTTTATACCAGTATGTGCTTTTAGAATAATGTAAAGGTTCATTATTGCCAAGTTTCTTTCTTGAATACCTGCTATTTTTCAAGGATTTTAGATCAAATGAAAATTTAGTACTATCTTGTCCATTAATAATTGAAAATACACCAGAAATGGGCATACAATTTGCTTTCAATTTTCACATAATTATTTTTCAGTCACATTTATACTGTTTATAAATCTTTTAATTCATTAAAATTGTCCTAAAGAGAAATGCAAGCAAAAGAAGTGAAATTATTTTCAAATCTGAATCCAAAATTAGTCTCTTTCCTTTGATAAACCTTATATCAAATTATTGTTCAATTTTAAAAGTTTGTTTAAATACTTTACAAACAATTTGCCAATTTAAAAAAGTTTAAATGTTACTGCTCAAATTATTCGCAAACTTTAAAATTTTATTAAAAAGTTCATGCCAATATTTCTCAAACTAATTGGCCATTGAAAGTTAATGTAATCAATTGTAAGTCTGTTTTTATAAAGTCATCATTTAAACAGTGAGGTCACTATAATCTGGCCCTTCAGAATCAGCAGCTTGTTTCATGGCCTGTAAATGTTCAACTGTATTCTGGAAATGTTTGTTAATTTGTTCCGTCTCCTCATTAGCCTCCAAGTTTGGTAATGTTTCTTTTATTTTGGCTATTAACTGATTTAGTACTTGTATTGTAACCTGAAATTGTATGACAGAAAATATAATTAAACTAAACCATTTTTAAGTACAAAACAACCTGTCTGCAGACACCAATCTCCACTTTCTACAGTGCTGGATAGTTAAATAAAAGCAACATAGAAAAGGGGACATAAAAAACTAATTTTAGAATTATCTTCCCTTTTAAAAGGCGTCCTTTTTTGACAATAAACTTTTATACCAAGTTTGAAGTGAATAGTTTTAATTGTGTCTAAGAAAATGGACCTTAACGAAAAGGTTAACAGTGACAAGATGGTCATGATAATAGCTCCACTATTTTTTCTTCGAAAAGTGGAGCTTAAAAGGGAGACTTCTTTGTTATTATGCAATTAAGAGTACAGTGTAACTTCTGAAAACCGAACACCCATGGGACTTGTCAAAAAGTTCGGATTCCAGAGGTTTCCGGAATTCAGAGGTTTATGATAATGTGGACAAGACTAAGCCACTTAATGTCAAGGAAAATGTGGCCATTACTGTGATATCATATATAATAGTCTTTTAATCAATATAAAGATGTAATTGAAAAGAATACATTTTTATCTTGAATTTCTATCGGTTTGTAGAAATGTTGTTTTTACTTACATATTGTCCGATGCTAGTAAATTAATTAATACATCAAATGCAATAAAATCCCTAAAGACGTTTGATGCATACAATGTCCCAATTAATTGTCATTTTATCCCCTAATAAACACTTCAAATTAACTGACCGCCGTAAATTACTTTAATAAACCGCATCGCTTCAAACATACCATTTCACTGTTTGTGATTTTAAAGCGTATCAAATTACACGATCACCGCTAATTGGTAAACAATCGATTGGGAGATTAAATCTTTCTGCAGGGTAAACATTCTCGATTTACAGTGTATTTCACACCTTTGGATATTTCCGGTTTTTGGAGGTAAAATTGCATTGATTTGACTTTAATTTCACGAAAATATCGTCCGGAATTCAGAATTTAGAAGTTCCGGAATTCAGAAGTATTATATTAATTGAAAATAGAAGGGAAAAAATCGGGACCGAAAAAAATGTTCGGTTTTTAGAAGTTTCCGGATTTCAGAAGTTCCGGAATTCGGAAGTTACACTGTATTGACAGACAAACAAAACACACAGTGAGGAGCTGTGTTGTATCACATGCCATCATTTATGATTCAGCAGTAAAGCATAATTTCCCAGAGGAAATTCTTCACATTTATATCTTTATTTCAATAATGATTCCTTGTTTAATACCAGAATTTTAATTACTTATGACAACAGCAAATATTTCTATCACTTACCTGGTCGTTTCCTTTCTCATAGTAATATATATAATGGTTGAGTAGTTCTACAAATAGCTGTACTTGTACTGAACTGTCCATACACTGGTTAGCTATCTTAACACCTTTCTTTAAACAATCTGACGTCCTCTTACCATCCCTTGTCTGTAAATATATATGTGTTCTTGTTTAAAGTGACATAATGTCTATCCAATGGTATACAGTAAGTGAACAGGTGAAAGTTAAAATCAGCTTATATTTAGCAATAATTGCTTTAAATTTTATATTTTTTTTTGCAGCATGAACGAAATATAACTCACATGGCCTAAGGAAATTCCAGTAAATATCCATTGGAATTTACCTTTAACATTTATTCTAAACATTTTCCATTATCTGTTGGTCAATCAATCTTTTGAAATAGTCAATTCATCCACATCACCTAGCACCCTCAGGCACAAGTGGGCAGAGTAGAACCACCAACATTCTGTGAGCTAAGCACAGACCTGACATAAACTACATACTAAGTTAATTAAATAACATTAATTTAAGTCAGTTCAATCAATAGGCAAGTGTGCTTAAACCAACAAACTTTTCTAATAAACATAAGATAATGAAGATAATTTTAGAGAAAATTGGTGAAAGTTTGTATTTAAGTACATATAAAACTGTATAGTTTAAGTGACTCCCCCACAGTCATGATAGATGACATTTACCTCCCCATCTTCTACTGTACTCTTCCCTGACCAGAACAGATGAGAGCATGTAGCCACTCCCCTACATTGGTCAGGTTTCTTCAGTAATTTAGATGCCGCTAGGGCACATTGTGTACGTAATGGTTCGTGATTCTCTTCTCCAAAACATGACATCTGTTCTAGTGTACCAATAATTAATGTTATAGCTGCCAACTGTGCCTTACTGTCTGAGATCTCATCCTCATACAGAGAAAATGCCTGAAATAATGGTTAAAAACGCCAATTATTCTTAAGAAATGCTGTTATTTTTATTTCTTAAAAACATTTTATTTTTGTTGTCCTGTTAGAGTTTCCAAAAAGTTACTCATTTGCTAATTACCTGAATCATCTTTCGGTTCTGTTGTCTTTTAGCAATAAGTACAGTTATAGTGATATAGAACTTTGTATGGAAGTCAAAATACTACTTTGTTTACAATTTGCTAATATCATGTCTTGACAAGTAATTTCATATTCAGAGCTACCTTCTACATGTGATAAGCATCTAACATGCTCTAAAATCATTTTTCAAATGTTATATAACTCTTATTTGCCTTTTCTAAAGAAGGAAAATTTATTCGTTTCTGAGGCATAATAAAAATAACCATGAACACAATTATTCTAAAATATACTCTTTTAACAGTCATTATCTTTTCTCAACAAACACAGATTAAACTATCCATAAAAGATGAAGCATATAATTCAAATGAATTTAAATTTCGTGAATACAAAAATAGTCTTTTGAACTTTATAATGAACTAAAGGATGAATTAATATTTGGGTAAAGCAACCTAGAACTTATTTGTAACTGAATAAGTAATTTTTTATAACAGAAAATATTAAACAAAAGAAACAACAGAAGAACTAGTGTATAAGCTTCGCTCAATAACTTGTGCTATTTGTAATTTCTGTGAATCATTTACATATTTCAACTAACATTTAACAAAGAGAAAAGAAACATTCTTGTTTCACATAATGTATGAGACATATTTTACCTGTGACATGAACTCATATGCCACTGTCTCGTGGTTTTCAAACCCAATACCTCCAGCTGCCATGGCACCCTGTAGAAACAACCTCAGTGGTATCTCAGCCTGTTCTGCCTTGATGAGGGCACCTATAGTCTGGTGACAAAACTGGAATATCTTCTGACATTTCTTCTCCCAGTTCTCATCCTGATGAAAATAATATATAACATATAATCACATCATTACTACATATGTATATTTAAATTGATGTTTCATTTTTATTAGTTTTTCAAAAGCATGGCCAAGTGGTCAACACATAGTAATCTAATGATCGCTATCTGCATGGGTTCAAACCTTGTCAGGGGGAAGTCGTTGTTTCATTAAGAAAGAAATTTTACACTCATTGCTCAGTATACTGGTTGGTTCCATGAACGAATTCGAAAGTGTGTCTATTAGCTTATAGCTTCCTTCATAATCTAAACTAAAATAAATTCTGTATAAACCAAAAGCATGTAAAATGTACTAAAGGTTTGTTTGTGTTTGGTTTAAACATATTCATTCAATACATTTACATTATGCATGATGAACAATATTTACAATTGGATTGGGCAAAAGCTATGAAAGCATACCTGTACCTTTAGTGTGTAGAGTTTAAATTATAACATATCTTCTCTGTGTGTTTTCAACAGATGTCTATTTTACATTTCAAAAGAGACTGTATAATAATTATAAAGTCTATTTTTAAATATCAAATTTCAGCATAATATGTCTTAATCTATGTACCTCATCAGAATGGTCCTTGTATCTATTGGCTAGCCTGTATGCTGAAAAGACGATAGGTGGCAGTGTAAACTTGATCCTCTTATCACCACCAGCACCAAAATGTTTCCTGGCTGTGTTCAATATCTACAATAGATTACAGTAGTTATGATGAATATATATATCGAGTGGACAAAATTTAACTATGTACGTAAATAATAATATATTATCAAATTAAACTACAAAAGTACATGATACTGTATGAACAAACACAGGATTTTTCTGGTTTATTATCTTTTTATCTATTTAAGTTGAAAGTGTTAAAAAATACAATACAGATTATGATAAAGACCATACATGTAGTAGATAAAAGATTTGAATGATTGATAACACTGTTATAGTCTGAAGATACAAAACATATACTACAAGTATTTATCTTCATATGAAAAAAGTGTCCATCACAAGGAACTGTAAAAATACAAATAAGATATCTGCAACAGCAAACATTGCCCGGTATATGATAAAGTACATAAATATAACACTGATATTATAATGAGTTATAATTAGGAAATAATATCGGTCTAAGCCGTGTTTATCAGCTATTTAACACCAGTTTGGAGTTTTGATGCCTAGAAATTGACCATGAAGGCTGTAGGTTTAATAAAGAGACTCACCAGATATTGTTGGTTTGCATCCTCAGACTGTAGGAGATGAATAAACCTTCCCATGAGTCCCTGCTCCTCGGCAAAATCTTCCGGATCATCCCCTTCCTCAGGTTGATCATTCTGGTCTTGTACTAATACACTGACGATTGATAACAAACTGTCAACCTGCAATCATTTAAAAGCTCATTATGCCTAAGAAATGAGCCGTGTCACGACAAAACCAACATAATGGGTTTGCGACCAGCATGAATCCAGACCAGCCTGCGCATCCGCGCAGTCTGATCAGGATCCATGCTGTTCGCTATCAGTTTCTCTACTTGTAATAGAGTTGGTAAGCGAACAGCATGGATCCTGTTTTTGTTTATATTTCTCAAAAAAAAATTTTTTCCCTAAGTTACACATTGGCCAATAACCTGAACCATCTTTTGCTTCTGTTACGTGTAGTGATATAGTATAGGTATATAGTGATTAAGTATTTTAAATGGAAGTCAAAATAATACTTTGTTTACATCTTACTACTTTTATGACAAATTATTTCATATTAAGCACTATGTTCTTTGGGTCAACAGCAATGCAACATGCTTTGAACATTATTTTAACATTATAAAATTAATGTTTGCCCTTTCTTAAAAATGAAAAATATAATGTGCCTTTAACATAGATAAACCTTCATATTATCAATTATAAAATATCAGTAACTTATATATCAAGCATATTGTTAAAAACCTAGTTGTAACAGTTAAAATATATTAATTTTAAAATTTATTTCATATCTAACAATGATCTTTGACATAGATGTTTTGATTTCAAATTGAAACAAAACAAAACTGAACAGAAGCTTTATAGCTGAAAAAAGGAATTTACAAGTACATTTTCATGTGTATAACAAGTGCTTTTTATGTTAAATTTGATTTTTTCCATAAGATAATAATTTGGATACCAAACTATTATACATGTTTATTGTTGAAGTTTATACAGTTTATACATTTCATGCATATGACAAAAAGTAACTAACCTATTCTAATCTAATACTTTTATCTACTAAATAAATACATTAAACAAACAATAGCTGATGCTTTGGGCGATTACGAAAAACAATTAGCTCATTTACAAATGACAGAGATTTGTAAAAAATAATTTTCTCTTTATTTCAGTAAATGATTCATACTTGTTCCTGGCTTGGAATTTCTGTCTCATTCTCTAAAGCATTGGTAATCAGGTAACAGCTCATCACTTTACGACTCTGATAATCAAAGTACTCAAACAACGGTCCAAAATGCTGTAACTCAAGCACAGTAAGGATGTTATTGTAATTATCTACTGGAATCTTCATCAATCTCATTAACTCCTTCGACACTGAACTGCCATGTTCCAAACTGAAAGAAATCATGTTCAAAATGATGTTAAACAAGAATTTAGTAACAGAGTTACCAACGTCCCCCGCCTCGGGGAAGTTTTATATGAATCGTAAAATTGTGCTATTTCAAAAGATTGAGGTATTGAGTCCAAAATTATGATCAATGCTAGATCTGCAAATGCAACAATAAATTTATTAAAGAAATAAAAATGAAACACGGAATTTAAAAATCTATCATGTTAAGCTTTGACCTCTAAGTGTGACCTTGACCTTGGAGGTAGGGATGCAGGTGTGTGCATGACATATCGTCTTATTATTGTAACTATTTGTGCCAAGTATTTTCAAAATCCCTTTAACTATGAAGAAGTTATAGATCAGACACAAAATATACCCTATAACAGACTATGTTAATCTTTAACCTCTTAGTGTGACCTTGACCTTGGAGGTAGGGACACAGGTGTTACGCGTGTTATGTATTATCTTATCACTGTGACTATTTGTGCCAAGTATATTTTAAATCCCTTGATCTATGAAGAAGTTATGTACGTGACACAAAATATACCATATAACAGACTCTGTTAACATTTGACCTCTAAGTGTGACCTTGACCTTGGAGGTAGGGGTGCAGGTGTTGTACTTGACATATCCTCTTATTATTATGACAATTTGTGCCAAGTTATTTCAAAATCCGAAAGAAGTTCTAGATCGGACACAAAATATACCTTATAACAGACTATGTAAATCTTTGACCTGCATGTGTGACCTTGACCTTGGAGGTTTGTGACCGATTATTGCGCATGACACGTCATCTCATTATTGTAAACAACTGTGGCAAGTATTTACAAAATCCCTTCCAAGATAAGAAAGTTATGGACTGGACACAACATATACCCTCAAATAGACAATGTTGACCTTGAATGAGCAAGTGCGACCTTGACCCTGGAGGTACAGGTCTGGTTGGTGCGGACGACACATCGTCTTATTATAACAAACATTTGTGCAAAGTTATTTCAGATTCCTTTGATAAATGACAAAGTTATGGTCCAGACACGAAAGTGTGACGGACGGATGGATGGACGGACAGACGGATATTCTAACAGGAGAGTAATTATGTGGCTACTCTATTGTTCTCTCTATTTTTATTTTTAGCCGCACAAAAGAAAATAGCCACATAAAAGCATTAGGGAATGAATGACATCAAAGAGAAAGAACAGTTACCTATTGTCCCTCTAGCCACATAATTACTGTCCTGTGAGTGTGGACGGACAGACAGATGGACAGACGGATGTACGGTCAGACGGACGGAGCCTATTTCTATATCCCCCTTTTTTCTTCGAAAAGGCGGGGGACAAAAAGATATAATTACTGATTTTAAGGGAAGTCTATTAAACAAGATATGTTTGTAAAACATGTATGCCCCCTATGGGCAGCCAATTAGTCATGTGATCAGGTTATTATGCAGGACTTCTGACCCAGTGAACAAAAAATTAATAAGGGTTATCTACTTGTTGATGACTAGTCACAAGGTAATAATTATTGTGACCCCATAGGTTGTGTGCAGCAATTTAAGTTATTACAAATCTTACCAAATAAAATATGCATAAATTTTATGAATCATGTAGGCCTCATTAATGACAGCCAAGTTGTTATATTACATAAGACCTACCAAAAGCATTTTTAGTTTAATATAAAAATATCAACCAAGGCAACTTGAGTTGTTGAGTTATTGGTCAGAAACCATCTTAAAGTACAACATCAATTTGACACTGACTCCTTGACCCCAAAATCAATAGGGGTCATCTACTGGTCATGACCAATCATCATATAAAGTTTGAAGTTCCTAGGCCTAAGCGTTCTTTAGTTATTGATCAAAAACCGTTTTTACCTACTAGGTCAATGTGAACTTGACCTTTGACCCCTTGACCCCAAAATCAATAGGGGTCATCTACTGGTCATGACCAATCACCATACCAAGTTTGAAGTTCCTAGGCCTAAGCATTCTTTAGTTATTGATCGGAAACCGTTTTTACCTACAAGGTCAATGTGACCTTGACCTTTGACCCCTTGATCCCAAAATCAATAGGGGTCATCTACTGGTCATGACCAATCACCATACCAAGTTTGAAGTTCCTAGGCCTAAGCGTTCTTTAGTTATTGATCGGAAACCGTTTTTACTTACAAGGTCAATGTGACCTTGACCTTTGACCCCTTGACCCCAAAATCAATAGGGGTCATCTACTGGTCATGACCAATCACCATACCAAGTTTGAAGTTCCTAGGCCTAAGGGTTCTTTAGTTATCACTCGGAAACCATTTGGTCTACGGACTGACGGACCAACGGACCGACAAATGCAAAGCAATATACCCCCTCTTCTTTGAAGTGGGGGCATAATAAACACTTTAAAATGCTAGATATCAATCAATGCAATTCACATTAAAAGAACTCCATTGAGTTGCAATAGCCTAAAAATATGAAATTTGAACTTCTTACATAGATCAACTGGGGCACTTAAAAACAGAAAGATATGCAAAACATAATTTAATATTTACTCGAAAATTAATCGAAAATTGTATTTTTGTGTTTTTCTTAGCCCGATTTGATTGAAAAGCTTTTTCGATTTTGGGTCATTTTTCACAATTACAAAAATTATTCTGGATAAAACGAAGAGTAAGAATGATATAAAATTTTGCACACAAGTTATTGGTTTTGATCTATATCAAATAAAACATTAATCTTGAAACTTATTTCCTGTCCCGCCATGTCAAAAAAAAGAAACTCAATGGAGTCCCTTTAAGGACTGTTACCTACTGTTAACTTTGATTTATGATTTTACAATCAGCATAGACCTTACTTACAACCCACACAAGGTTTTAGAAATGAAAATCATCTAATAAAAGACAACTGTGGTGGTCTGAATATGTAAGTACATTTGTAATGAGAATTCATATAGGTGGTGGAGTTGGTAGTCACTGCGGATCACGGCAGTAAGCCACATTGAATTCACCAGAGCACAGTTCAACCACCGCATTGTTCCCGGGCAGGCTGTCAAGCAGTTTACCTTCACTTTCGCAAGGAACTGTAACTTCTGTACATACCAGAGCAGAGGTACAGTGCGAATGAACGTAGAAAAGATTTCATGATCAATCGCAACGAAAGTGACCTGCGCCTTTCGGAAATCGAACCCCGGTCGCCCGATTCACAGTCCAACGCTCTATGGGAATTCATATACAGACAAAAAATTTCTTATATACCCAATGACTATATGTTCAAACTCTACTGAGATCACAAAAATGGTTCTTCTGATAACAATATTGAATAATGCTAAAAGATATAAGATGATTTCTTAAGACAAAAAGCTTTAAACATGCATGTATTACTAAAAATACATGCTTTTACAAGGGTTTAAATTTACAATATATGCTTTGCAATTTACATAGGGAAGCCAAATAGCTAAAGTAAGGAAAAGATACATGCTTGTTTCTCAAAAGCCTGCAATAAACAAAAAACAAATACTGAAAAATCATTCTATGTGGGGAAATAATCTTTGTGGTTTTCGTGGACAGGTCAATCCACAAATTTAAGATCCAACGAAATTTCATTATTTACATTTTACCTTTTGGTAAAATAAACATTAATTTTTTACATTTTACCTTTTGGTTAAATATACAGTCTACAAAAAATTTAAGAACCCAGAATAATGTTCTTTGTGACAAAATCACGAAATTTTATGCCCACAAAATTAATGAATTCACAGTAGGAGGTGTAGGAAATATAATATGAATAATAATCAGCAATATTCTAGCCCTGGGATTATAAAACTTTTTTTTCTGAGTTCTGTCTCAAATCTCAGGATTTACATTGGTCAGTGTATATTCTGTGGCAGTTTCTGACCAATCAAATTACTGAGATCTGAGCTTAAGCTTAGGGAATTTCTTTAAATCTTGGGCCCTGGAATTAAGGAATTTCTGTAAAATCTATACAAACTTACTGATCTAGGTTTAGTCTATTGAATATATCCTCTGTAGTCTCCAATACTTTATCCACATATTCTATCTTATCAGGGTAACATTTGAGAGCCAGGTTGATCAGGGCAACTTGTAATGATACTATATCTTCTGGTGGCATGTCTGAACGATTCTGCAAAACGTCAGCAATATATATATATATATATAAAATGTTTTTTGGATTAAATATTCATATAAAGAGCAAACTAAGACAAAAACTAAATGATATAATCTTTTTTTTTTACATATAAAATATTGACATGTCGTAAACTGAAAGTTAAGGTTAGCTGAAGATTAAGAAATCATTCTGCTGGATAAAGGTAAAAGCCTAGGTATTACTTTTTTCAATTTAAAAATGTTCAACATTTTGCTCAAACACCTCATATCATTACACAAGCACATTCTTACTTAGTAACTATTATTCCAAAAATAGTTTTTTCAAACAGTTGCTAAAAAACTTTTAATTAAGAGTAAAGCCGATATTGGCTATCAAGTGTTTTATAATTTCAATTTTGGGATATCAAACAAGCTGTAAACTAACCTGTATAACTTGTGCAATTTGCTGTGAGAAAATATCAAACAACTGTATTTCTGGTGGTATTCCTGCTCCCTCCTCGTTCTGGGCAAACTGGGCAAGTCTGGTAGTTAACAATAATACAAACAATTAATTACGCATCTTTAAAGTATAATGTTCAACAAGATTCTTACTAGGACAGCAAGCTCAACTATTATCAGTGCTTGATACTAAAATAAGAGCATGGACAATGTAAGAATTAACAAAGAAGAAGATTTAATTTACAAAAATATAAATAATGTACAGGACATAGTTACGACTTAGATACTGACCAAAGAATTTTGTTAAGAAGTTCATTAAGGACCTTAATTAATTCAAAATCCATGCCAGAGTTATGGGTCTTGGAAAGTGACCATGAATTGTAAAAGCATGAATCAAGTTTGAAGTAAGTACTATCAGTTGTTTTATGAATGATAAATCAGGATGTTCACTAGCCATGAAATCCCGAGTTTTACCCATGATTTTAACAAAGTTTGACTCTCCAGTTAAAATCCCGAGGGTCAAATCAGGCCTTTTGGAAATTTGAAGGGTCACAGAGTCATTTCAAGGGTCAAACGGACACTCTGATAAATATTGCAAGGAAAACTTTAACCAATAATTTTCTATATTCACAAAGGGCCAAGTCAGAGTTATGGTCCTTGGATATTGACCACCAATCACAGGTGAGTATGATAATCCTACTATTCTTCAAATAGTTTTTTTTCCTATCTTATGGATTATTTATTTCCTTTAGATTTACTTCTTAACCTTGTGCAAAATTCGTTAATAGCTCATATATGCATTTATCTTTTTTCTGTAATTCCAATTTTATTCATTTTCATTTTATACTTTATCAACTATAAACATTTATTACTATGTAATCTAGTTTTAAATAAAAAAATCCACCTGTCAATTAGAGAGATGATGATATTTTTCACATTAACACTGGCATGTAATTCAGCACAAGCTCTCAGGAACGGACTGAGGGTCTGTAGGTGAAAGTCATCTGGAAACACCTGGCAAACAAAACAGGTAATTTAAATAAATCATTTACTTAAACAAGAGGGCCATGATGGCCCTGAAGTCGCTCACCTGTATATAGGCCCCCGAAGCGGGGCCAGTTTAAACCCCAGGGCTTTTATTTGGCCAAACTTGGTAGACACCCATTAGAAGATGTTTCATGCTAAACATCTAAGGTCTAGCTGATCAAGTTTTTTCTTTACACATATAGTTAAAACAATGACACACCTGGGGCAGGGCCAGATTTGACCCAAGGGCTTTTATTTGAACAATCTTTGTAGACACTTACTAGAAAATGTTTCATGCTTAATATCTAAATTCTAGCTATTCGGGTTATTTCAAAGAAGATTTTTAAGTTTTTGCTATACACATATAAGGAAAATCAATTTCCCCCGGGGCAGGGCCAATTTGACCCCAGGGTTTTTATTTGAACAAACTTTGTAGACACTCACTAGAAGATGCTTCGTGCTTAATATCTAAACTCTAACTATTTGAGTTTTTTCAAAGAAGATTTTTTAAGTTTTTGTTATACACATATAAGGAAAATGAATGACCCCCGGGGCAGGGCCAATTTTGACCCCAGGGCTTTTATTACAATAAACTTGGTAGACACTCACTAGAAGATGTTTCATGCTTAGTATCTAAGCCATAGCTATTTGTTTTTTTTCAAAGAAGATTTTTAAGTTTTTGCTATACACATATAAGGAAAATCAATGATCCCCTGGGAGGGCCAATTTTGACCCAAGGGCTTTTATTTGAACAAACTTGGTAGACACCCATTAGAGGATGTTTCATGCTAAATATCTTAGCTCTAGGTCTTTGGGTTCTTTAAAAGAAGATTTTTTAAGTTTTTTACTATATGCATATACTAGGGAAAATCAATGACCCCCTGGGGCGGGGCCAATTCTGACCCCAGGGCTTTTATTTGAACAAACTTGGTAGACACTCATTAGAAGATGTTTCATGCCAAATATCTAAGCTCTAGCTCTTTGGGTTTTTTAGAAGAAGATATTTAAAGTTTTTTCTTTTGGTTGCCATGGCAACCAGAGTTCTGCATGGAATTAAAGTCTTTGAACAATTTTTAAAGGTGACCACCAAAGGAACATTCCTGTGAAGTTTGGATGAAATTGGCTTAGTGGTTTATGAGGAGATGTCATTTAAAGTAAAAGTTTACGGACGGACGCCGGACAAAAAGCGATCACAAAAGCTCACCCTGTCACTTTGTGATAGGTGAGCTAAAAAAATGCGTTTCCATTAAGATGTATTCAAATGGGAGACCTTTCAATCAAATGAAATGAAAATTTGAAGACTTTACCTAGTTAAAGAAGAACACAATAGTTTGTACTGCAGTTCAATACTGTAATTTCATGGATAATTGAATTTTGTTAGATCTTAAATTCATGGATTGACCAATCCACAAAAACAACGAAAATTATTGCCCCACAAATAATACTAATTTGCAGTAAATGAAATCATTTTTAACTACAATTAATATCTAAAAATTTTACCTGTATGATACATTCCATCAGATACTCTTGGGCTATAGGATCTCTACAGCTAACAACCTGTTCTAACACACCTGGTAGTACTCCCTGAAAGATGTACATGTAGAATAAATAACCTATATGACATGCATAAATTTAGTTATTATAGAACTTCACTCTAGTATAGGTGTTTAATATAAAACAACTGATAACACAAAAACACTGTAGTGTTAGGTTAATGTCACCCAATGACTGAGAAAATGTACAAAAATACAAAAGAAATGCTATACACTTTATTTCATGCCAAATACTTACTGTATTCATGACTTAGATATAAGATAATAATGAGATTGATAAAGTCCAAAGTTATGGTCACTTGCGCATCATTTGACAACATAACTATAGTATGAATTGTATCAAGAGCTACCAGTAGAACAGCCTGTTCGACCATATTCAAAGCTTGATAGTAAAACAAGAGCCTGGATAATGTAGAGATTTCTGAGCCTGGATAATGTAGAGATTTCTAAGTTCAAAACTGGCCATAATTGTGTCAAAATCCATGTTTGTATTGGCATTGGACAGTGACCTCCAATTATGCTTTCAAATAGTGTGAAGTTTCAACCCATTCCCTTCAGTTGTTTTGGAGATAAAAACTTGCATGCAAAAACTTAACCAAGTGTGAAGCTGATGCCTGTGTGAGTACAATAGTTCTTCCTGCTCTTTGAATAGTCAAACTAAAAAGTAGTGTAAAAATCTGGCATATTGAAATGATTAAAAAATAAAATGGTATAAATGTGTAAATATTTCACACCACTACCTTTTTATATCTGCTCATATCAATGCACTCAAGCTGACTGAGCCTGACAAGATTTGTTCCAACTAGAATACGTAATTCTTGTCGCTCCCTCTCACGTTTCTCCTTGTTACGTGTATGCCCCTGATGCTGCATGCGCACCCAGAGTTTGTTCATCTCCGAGAAATTCAACAGTATAAAATCAATGGAGTCGGAGATCGTACCAGCCTCATATTCTCCTAAACTGTAAAAGACAAATATTTATATTATTTAACTTAAAATTAACAGTGGTTATACTGTATAGTTAGAAAAATTGTACTGAAGATCTTACAAAACTTGCAAAAAAACTGCCAAAGTTTACTTTTTTCTTTCTCCTAGAACTTTCAAAAATATGCACCAATTACTCCTGAACCTGAAAAATTCTAAATAATTTTATCCTAACCCAAGATTTAAAGAAGTTTAGAAGTTTATTTCAATCAGAACCATTAGGCTTAAAAGCCCATGAGGCATACATATACAAAACTTTATGACGGTTTATACATTCAACAATAATTTCATTATAACAATATAATCTTGCAAACATAATTTACTTTGGAGAAGGTTTTTTCCAACCTTATCACCCTTACCAATTGTTACAAATTTTGAACTAAATTTCAGGTTACTTCATTCCAGTTTTAAAGTCAACCTTTTAATGAAACGAAACATAAAGGTGACTGACTGGAGTGAACATAATATTAAATACCACAGGTGTTAAAAACTATGTGCTGCAGTTTTCAATAGAACTGAATGTACACAGAGCATTCATTCATATGATTATTCCTGACTTATCTGTTTAATTTGATTAATGGTACTTATTATCAATACAGTTTTTTACTTATTATCCTGCATTTCTAGATTTTTTATTTTTTGTCTTAAATCTCAAGCTACTTAACATATTTCATCCTATATTTCTGGGATAAAATAAGAACATACACACCCAATAGGCCATGATGAATTATTACTATATGTTTTGTGTGCTATCAGAACATTTGTTTGTACATCAATATTCATTACTTACTTTGCTTCAACTTCTACATCAGGTAGGACATTTTTGGTACATTGTAAAAGGTAGTTTCTGAGAAAGAGTCCCCTCAGTGGATGTTGTACTCCTCTACACATCTCTACCAAATCTTTCAGGATGTCTCTTCTTGACAACTCATTTGTCTTGATGTAAACAACACCAACTGTTATCAGCAAATATCTGTAAAATATTATTACCTGTTAGTTTATTTATAGTAAATCACTAATTTCGTGCCATCACTAATTGGTTTAAGCATATTTATTTAAGCTCGATTTGTGAAACAAGTTCTTGCGACTTATATTAATCACTTTCGAGTCCCCTTCCTGGAACCAACCAGTACTGGTGTCATATGAAGATACATGGTTGTGACCCGATTAGGGCTCCAACATATGATTCCTGGGTTGAGAGGAAGACACCTTAACCACTAGGCCACTGCTCCCCTTCACTAATTTCACAGCAATGACAATTATTTCCACGTAACCTGTGTTTACATTAGTCAAAGTTGACCTATTTTACTGATATGCCTAAACAACAAAGTTTTTATGCAAAGTACTTAAAGTTTAGTGAAATACGCAACATTTTACTCATTTCTGAAAAAAAAGTAATGATAGTCCAGAATGTCTTTGACTAAAACAGTCCGCATTTCCTAGTGGTCTTGTTTGCAGAATTACAAAATTTTTTATTACAAATGTTAAGACGTTTGGAATAATTAACTAGAATTTAAAAATGGTAACAATTCTTTGTATAGTCAATTCACTTGTTAGTTAAAAGCCTTACTACCACAAGTTATAAGGACATATATACAATGTATATATATATATAGTAAGTATAATATATATATATAGTAAGTATATATTCTTACTTCAATAAAGATGATGTTTGTACAAATGACTTAGGATACAAGGTAAGCAAGTAAGTGTAGCATACATCTTTCACATTTATGAGGCTGATGACAATTTATGTAAAACTTTTCGGTTGTTTATGAACAAATTGACTTTCAAATATAAAACTTACAGCCTGGGAACAATATTTCCAGCATATTGGACGAGTTCATACAGATCTGACACTTTTCTTCCTTTCTGGAATTCATCCACAAGATATAGCTCCAAGTGTCGCAGTTCATCTGATATGGACATATCTACCATGTCAAGGAACTTTATATGCATATGCAAGATATTAATGTACTTTCTTCTTCTCCATTAGCAAACAACAAATTATTTCATAAATATAGTGACTAGTTATTGAAAAATAAATGATATGTTTAATACAGTGTTCCTGATCTGAAACAAGAGCTGTCGGTAGGACAGCAACGCTCGACTATTCTTCGTGCTTGATAGTAAAAAAATGCCTGATACAGTTACCTCCTCCTGTTTACAGGTTGGGGTCATGATGGTGAACAAGTGTGCAAAGTTTCAAAGCCATATATCAATGGACTTTGAAAATATTTGAACTATTACAAAAACTTTAACGTATTTCTAAGTCGAAAAAGGGGCATAATTCTGTCAAAATGCTTAATAGAGTTACCTCCTCCTGTCTACAGGTTGGGGTCATGATGGTGAACAAGTGTGCAAAGTTTCAAAGCCATATGTCTATGGACTTTGAAAATATTTGAACTATTACAAAAACTTTAAACGTAAATTCTAAGTCGAAAAAGGGGCATAATTCTGTCAAAATGCTTGATAAAGTTACCTCCTCCTGTCTACAGGTTGGGGTCATGATGGTGAACAAGTGTGCAAAGTTTCAAAGCCATATGTCTAATGGACTTTGAAAATATTTGAACTATTACAAAAACTTTAACGTAAATTCTAAGTCGAAAAAGGGGCATAATTCTGTCAAAATGCTTGATAGAGTTACCTCCTCCTGTCTACAGGTTGGGGTCATGATGGTAAACAAGTGTGCAAAGTTTCAAAGCCATATGTCAATGGACTTTGAAAATATTTGAACTATTACAAAAACTTTAACGTAAATTCTAAGTCGAAAAAGGGGCATAATTCTGTCAAAATGCTTGATAGAGTTACCTCCTCCTGTCTACAGGTTGGGGTCATGATGGTGAACAAGTGTGCAAAGTTTCAAAGCCATATGTCAATGGACTTTGAAAATATTTGAACTATTACAAAAACTTTAACATAAGTGGTTACGCCGACGCGGACGCCGACGCTCGGGTGACTGCAATAGCTCTACTTATTCTTATCGAATAGTCGAGCTAAAAAAGGGCTTTTGGAAATCATACGCCTTATATTGATGCTTTTGATGGTATTCTATCTTTGCATATTTTATCAAGGTTTTATCGACCCTGGAAATTAAGTCCATCGTTTGATAATACTATTTCAATTATTTCTTTTTTCTATCATAAAAGGATACATAGTTCATAATAACTTTTAGGAGATAACATTGAAGTTCTCAATTCTCCAAGCATCGTTGATGCATGCTTCAAACCATCCATTAACTTGCCTTTGTCCTATAGTAAAAATGAAGACAGAAACTGAATTAGGATTATAGAGTCATAGGCTTAAATTACAAGAAAAGCATTTGATATATATGATATCTATAGTTATACTGTAGAACAGGGAAAATTAACAACTACAGAATAGTTACAACCAAAATTACCAAACGAAAAATTCATCTGTATGTAATTACAGTTTTGTACCACCACTGATACTATCAAAGTGAAACTTGGAATTATATATATGCTTTTAAACTGAAGCTTAATAAGTTAACTCTAAAAGAACTGGCAAAGTTAATACTTGCATCGAAATAAAGAAACTTTAACAAATTATTTCCAAACATTTAAGGCATAATTTTGACCATTGTAAGTATTTTGTTTCAATAAGAAAGCTATCAGACTGACAATAAAGATTTTACACATATATTCCTTAGAAACCTACAACTGACATTGCACAAGTCTATTTTGCTTTCTTAACTTACAAGGCATCTTTTCATTTGAAATGACTGATTTTTCACAATGCTGAGAGCCTCCTCTAGAAGCTTCTCTTGTTCCTCCTGGGGAGACAGCTGTGGTGTAGACGGCTGAAAAACAAAAGTAGTATTGCATGACTGACAGCTGGTGCAACCATATTCCATTATCTACTAGTAATGATTGTTTCTTGCTCACTTAAGTTTCTTATGTGTGTATTCACTGTATTGTGGCTAAATGTATTATTGATCTTAAATACTCAAATGTAATTACATACATGCCATAACGTCCCGGATGCCCGGGATTGTCCCGGAAATCGGATGTCTGTCCCGATGATGTCCCGGGCATCATTTTGATCCCGGAAAAAAAATCAGGATATTTTGCAAAATGTTCATAAATTTTCTTAAATCAAATCTCGCACATTTCACCTCTCGATCGTAAAACATATTCTGACCTAGTACACATAATACACAGGAACGTTGACACTTACAAGTTTACAATATACAGCCCCCCAATTATCGAATGTCGATTCCCCTCGGCAATAGCTTTCTTCATGCATCGGCAATTAACGTTCTCTGTTGAATTCGGCAGCGTTTAATGGCCGGGTTAATTAATGGTTTACGGCCCTTAACAATTATCGTTAATCCCCGATAATCATTGATTTTTAGATCAATTGCTAACTTGCCCAAAGTCTAATTATTACAAACAATGTAAATATATCTATCAAATAAAAAATTAAAGGTGTCAAATAAATCACCTTGCAGTGTTTGTTTTTATGACTGGAAGAATTGCATTACGTGACATGTAGTAATTATCACGACTTTAAGATATAACGGGTGAACAACATGGCTGCGCCCATTCAGCTTAGGGAATAATAAATGAAATAATGAAATACTATAAAATGATAAATATGTCGACCTAAAAGACTACTTCTAAAACTAGTAAGTTAACTGTTTATCATTAAAATTCAGGAGAAAGTCGTCCTAATATAATAAAGTTATACGATTGACACCCCCCCCTTTTCCACAACTGCCTACGCATCCATTATTGCCGTGGTGAAAAGTGTCCCGGAAAGCTGTCCAAAAATTATGGCATGTATGGTAATTATAAGAGGTTAAAACATAACAGAGTAAGGCTGGAAAGTGATAATCAGCCTGCAAATTGAATACTGTCCCAAGGACTTCAGTCTGAGGGACATTATTTATTCAGGGCTGATTATTAATTTACAGCCTGTCTCTGATGACAGCAGCATATCTATTTAGTGTTAATCTTGGTGATATTAATGCTACTGAATTTTAAATTGCTGTTAATCATTTCAACAATTAATGTCTTAACTGACATAAAAAGATATCAGAGATATCAAACTGCAAAGTCACTTGACATAAATATTGTAAGAGTATCGCCTAATATTATAATAGGTAATCAGTAATCAGGTGAAACTAAATTACTTAAGCTTTTAGATAGAAGTTTCAACATTGTATATATTTTGGTCTTAAATAGACACACCTGTCATGTGGAAAAGGTTATGTGCCTGGGTACAGCAGCAGTAAAACTAAATGCAATTACCTCTGTGTTTCTAGTTGGATCAAAGATCAGTGTTTATTTTTTTTAATTACTTTTGGTTATTAAATGTAAGATTGCAGTATTAGATTTCAGCATTTTATAAAATCTCTCAAGAAAATCTGATATCTCATATCAAAATTGGCTAAAATTCTCAGTGAATATTCCCTTTAGTTGTTAAATTTTGGCACCAACCTAAACACACATGAAATACAACATATGGCTATTTCATTGTCACAACATTAAGCGTGTATTTCCTAATCTGAAATACCCAAGAAATGGCACAGACTTTGTCAGGTGTTTGATGATGAAAATGTCTAGTCCCCCAGTTACACAGTGTTGAAGGCAACCGGTTAGTGCATCTAGTTAAAATTCATTAATTCTTACCAACTTACATGTAAAACAGCATTTATCGTTCATTTATTTAAGAAACATGACCTTTTTGTTTTGAAAGAGAGTATAAACCAGTGTAAATATAAGCAGGAAGTTAGTTGCAAAAATATTATATCGCGAAAACATATTACAATGCAGATAATTATATCTCACAATAAGTAACACTCTATAGTAAAATATAACTGAACAAAATATGTTGTAAGGTGAATAATGTTTATGTTTTACGGAACATTGTCAACTAAATGGCGTCTATACTGATATTTATTTTTGTAAAATTTATGCAGACACCCACCATTTTGACAGGTCATGTGACTTCATCAAAACTAACACAAATATTTACAAACACTCAAAAGTATTATACTCAACATCACATCAATTATTTCACGGTAATGGCATATTTTCATGTGACCAGTGCTAAAATTGGCTAGAATTGACATATTTTATTCATAAACCTATACAATAAAGTTTTTGTGCAAAATATTTTAAATCTCTAGATTTTTACGTAAAACAGAACAACATTTTACAAATTTCTGCAAAAAGCAATAATAATCCATTAAATTTGTGCGTATGACGTATGTCTGAAACAATCATCATTTTCTAAATGTTCTTGTTTGTTGAAAAAATAAATTTTGAGTTACAATGTAAAGATATTTTTAATTTTTAAAATTATGCAAAATAACATGTAGAAATTTTAACTGAAACATGAAAAAACTGAAATGAAACACCATTACCGCGATTTAAATGATGACATATTGTTTTCAAAATGGCCGCCATATGGTCTACGTCTGGCTCATTTAAACTGATTTTAACTAAATATATTGTTGTTTCCTTCTTATACCTATACGTTACAGCTTATGACAATTTTTGTACCATAAGTTTCATGTTTTGTTTTCTTTCCTGCTTCAAAACGTTAAGTACCGTGAACTAGGAGGAGCACAGTATGAATATAGAATAGGCAAAATATTTTTGCATTAGTTCTTATTTATCTGGTTAATATCGAAAATATTTGGGACAAAACTTATGCGATTTTAATTACTGCAGTAATGTCCTAAACCAGATGACAGAGATAACATCTCTGTCATCTACATCTCTGCCTAAATCTAATGATATCTTTGTCATTTGAAAATCTGTGAAAAAACATATATCATCGGACAAAGAATTGAATTTTCCTCAAAGAATAATGATAAAAACTGAAAGCAAATATGAAACAGCGGCGTGGCCGAGTGGATAACGCGTTGGACTAGTAATCTGAGGATTGCTGGCGGTGTGTGATTCAACCCTGTAGGGGCAAGCATTGCGTCCTTGAGCAAGAAACTTTACATTCATTGGTTAGTACTGGTTGGTTCCAGGAACGGATTTGAGATTGTTTAAATAAGCTTATAGCTTCCAACACAATCGAACTAATATAAATTTGTATAAACTAAATATGAAACATGAAAATAGTAAATAGTTGATTATAAAGTATTTTTTTCTGATGTTCATATTATGTGTGTTAAACAAATCCATAGATACAAGTATTTCCGGGATTCATGTATCATTTGATGTGGGCCTGGAACAATAACTTGTGTGCCAAGTTTTAGATAATTCACTCATTTCACATTAATTATTTTAATTGTGAATAAATGGTACAAAATAAAGAGGGATCAAATGCCTTTTACTCATTTCTGGCTGAAAATAAAAAAAAGTACGATTTACGTTTAAATTCCGAGTATAATTCATTATTAAAATGTATCTTTATAAGTATCCAAGTTGTAAATGGATTCTTTAGCATTTGGTCTTCAGTGGAGTTTCTTTCCTATACTGTTAAAGATGGATAATGTCAGTTACAGATCCTGGCTTAAAAATAAGATTTTTAAAATTATTTTTTATTATAAATATATAAACTTTAACTGTTTAACATCACACATCTTGCAAGAAAACCACCCGGCAAATATTATTTTTAAGTAGGAGTGGTATTAAAACCAAATATAAGAGAAACACAAGTAGTTACATTGCACAAACACTGCGGAAGTTACCTTATAGTCACTTCCCTTTTGCCAAAGTCTTCAAGATAACCATCTGAAAGGGAAAAAACAACGGGGTATGGAATTTAATGCCAAGCCCTCCAGTCCACCACGTCGCATTAGTTCCTATACAATCTACATGGACACTTAATCTCGATGTACATACATGTTTGCCTGGTACCTTGGTGTAGCCGCCCTTGGTGTAATCGTCAGCCAAAATATGATAAACAAGATCAACAAGACTGGATAATATAATTTATATAAACACATTTAGAGCAAATGAAATTAGAACGCTAGGTTCCATAAACGCAGCATTATTATAAAACATGAACATGTTAAATTACCTTCTTACAAAACACATATTTTACCTCAACTTGTTTACTCTTCCACTGTCTGATCATTTCTATAACAGACAAAAATACACAACCTATAGATTTTCACGGAGGTCTGTCAGATTGGTAACAATATCCATTACATTGGATATACGCATGTCACAGAGTTCCAAAGCAAATCTGGTTGGAAGCTCAAACTTGGAAAACATTAGGTGCCCTTGGACGTCAGGTTGATCATGATGATGTAAAACATCTACCACAAGCTTGAACAATAACCCTTTAGAAGTCCCTGATAGACTTTTCCGTCATATGTGTCCAAATACACCCATAATATTCGTCAACAACTTGTCAGATTCAATTTTCTTTTCAAATAATCTTCCTCCCCCATTCATTCATTCATTCATTCATTCATTCATTCATTCATTCATTCATTCATTCATTCATTCATTCATTCATTCATTCATTCATTCATTCATTCATTCATTCACGACTGGATGTAACATAATAAGGTGCGAACTTGGGTGTTAATAGAGCAAGCAGTTGTCCATTCTCACTTAGTTTAAAAAGATCATTACCACTAATTTCAGTTGTTTGCACACTATACATACTATATACTATTTTGAAGCATGAAATAGTACTAATAGATAAAAAGATAATTTCAGGCTTATGGTCTATGTTACGGCTCGGAATAGCGAGATTAATTTTGTGACATCTTTAAAAACCATTTCTTGCAGTCTTACGTCGCACAATCTCAAGCATCCGTGTGTTGTTATCATCATGCGGCTGCCATATGATTGGTGATATATGAATTATTATTATTTAAGTGATACATTGATAAATAAAGAAATAAAACAAATAGAACACACTCGAGTCCTTGCATGTCCTTTGAAAATAAAGATGCTACATTTTATTTACCTTTATCGTTACACATATACTATGTATTTTTTCGATACACGTGTATCTTGTCATTCATGGTCTACTGTATATGACTCCCATTTTATTTAAAATATTCGGCTAAAGAGCGAATTTATAGATATACAGTCGAACAAGATATATGAACGTCAAAAAAAAAATTAAAAAATAGCGAGTAAACATTTATCATATGAAATGTCAAACTGGTGCCAGAAGTCATATTACAATAATTATAAGTTTTCAATAAAAAATAAGAAAATTATATTTAAGGTAAGCAAGAGATCACATAAATTAAATTCAACCTTATAAACATTTTGTATCAATAACACAAATCACATATTTATCGTTTACTTTTCACATCAAGTGTTTGCTGAATATCATCAAATTCATACAAACATATTGTAAAGGAAATATATTTATTACATTTTCAAGTCATCTAAAACAGAATCTAAAATTGTTGTGATTTTCCAGCATAATAATTACTTCAAGAGTAATAATTACCATTTAGCGAAATTTATTATTATTTGAAGTATATATTTTAAACCAATATAACTTATAAGATATCATCAACTCTTGCACATCATTAATTGGGAGGAATGGGAAGGATATTTAGATTTCACACACCATTTTGTGTCCAAAAAAAACAAAAACAAAAAAAAACAGAATGACCAAAATGTCCAGAAAATAAAGACAAAAAAATACCGCCAAAATTAAAAGCGGCCAATAAAAAGTTGTTAATTGCTTACGTAAACCAAAAATAAAATTATACTTATAAAAAAAAACAGAAAAAAACGTTATATGGACTTCATTAACCTTGTTATAATATTATAATATAATATTAACCAGTCAGGATTCTCAAGGCATAAGCCCACTTCTAGAAAACGACAAACTCAATAAAAATAATGTAGATAAGTGTAGATAAGGCTAAAATGAAATTCCATAATCAATAAATAGCCTCCCCCAAGACCTCAAATGTAGTTATCCCACAATGCCCAAGGTTTCTATATCTGTTAAGGATGTCAGAAAAAACTAATATCAACTCTAAAAACTGATAAAACTTGTGGACCCGACAACCGAAAGCCAATAGCTTTTTTTAAAAAAATCTCTGTGTACAGATTACCCTCTGATCACTAGCCTATTCCAAAAGTCCCTTTATACAGGAATCACCCCAGCAGACTGGTCAAAAGCCAATGTCACCCCACTCTGTATAAGATAAGGACAATCCTGACAACTACAGACCTATATCCCTCACCTGTGTCCTCTGTAAATTACTTGAGCATATATATATATAGTAGCATCAAACATATCAAAACATTTTCATGTTAATGGCATCCTTTAAGACTTACAACATGGGTTTAGAGAAAAAGTCCATGTGAAACTCAACTGTTAGAACTCGTAGAAGACTTATCAAGAAACTTAATGCAAGGCAACCAGACTGGGTTAAGGTAACCATCTCAAACTCCTATACAAACTACATCAACACGGCGTCAAAGATAACACAATACTATGGGTCAAATCATTCTTGAAAGGTCGCCGTCAGTCCGTTGTAGTAGATGGGGAAACGTCAAATGAGGTCTCTGTAACATCTGGCGTCCCCAATGGTCTGTCCTAGGTCCCCTTCTCTTTCTGTTATATATAAATGACCTGCCTGAAGATTTAGTTTCACAGGTCCGGTTATTTCCCGATGACACTGCTGTTTATATAGCTGTCAATAAACATAAAAATGTGACATGGAGTTCAACCACTCTTAGTCAAAACACCCATTAAAGTCAGTATATTCACTACATGGCCAAGTCCTAGAAAATGATAATGACGCAAAGTACCTGGGTGTCACTTTCTCCTCTGATTTAAATTGGAACAAACGTGTCAATCAGGATACCTCTTAGGCTAGTAAAACTCTATACTTTCTTAAAAGAAACATCCCTTCTAAAAATTCAAGCGTAAGGGAATTTGCATAGACCCCAGCCTTATGCCAGTTCTGTCTAGTGTCCTTACACTCGGCAGAACATCCACGAAGTTGAAATGGTCCGGCGCAGAGCTGCGCGATAGGTTACTATAAGGATTATTCTTCATACAGCAGTGCCTCCCTTACGTTAGATAAGTTAGGTTGGTGTTCCCTGGAAAATAGGAGAACTTATGCCAGACTCCTAATGTTTTACAAGATTGTGCAAGGACTGGTTGCAGTGCCAATACCTCCGGGTTATGTTCAGCCCTCCATCCGTCTCACCCGACACTCACACTTCTTTCTTTCAGGCAGATTCTCACTCCATGTAGTTACTACAAATATTTTTTTTCAGCAACTATAATCCTCTGGAACTCACTGCCATTTGAGCTTGTGCATGCCCCGACCCTGAACCAGTTTAAACAGCTAGGGAGTGACCACTCATCCCCGAAGTGTTTTAGCTGTATACTTTCTCTTATCAACTTTTTATTTCAATTCTCACAAATATATGTACAGTAGCCTAGTACTTTTATTCTACTTTACATTTCTTCTTTTAAACTAGCACAGACATACATGTAATACTATAAAGAGATAGATAATCAATTTTTAAATAGAAAAAAATGGATTTAGCTCAATACAGGATTGGAGCAGTACCTCTAGACGCTTGCAGAAATCATGAACACAAAATAGACAAATATCGTTTTTTTCGCCGAATTTTACCTTTTTCCTTGATTATCGTACTTGATTCGGTGTAAAAAGATGAATTAGACCTGTTAAATTTCATTCCGTTGGGTAAAAAGATAAGATTTTAGCATTTTATCATTCAAGCGCCTTGTCCGGTATATACCGGAATACGGTATTTAGTGTGGTGCTCCAATCCTTTTTTTAGTCACAGCCGAAAAAAATTGTGTTGTTGGTATTTAACAAACTTTGAGCTCCATAACTATCCAAAGTATTCCGAAATAACGACAGATCGCGGGAAACTTAACATGACGGAACTGTCACAATTGGGCACTAAACTCGGCATAACTTCGCCAAGAGTGCTAAGGTTAACACATTTCATATTCGGTTTTCTTATATTTATTGTATTGTATGCATATCTGTATGTGTAAAAATTCCTAACTTCCGCTGTCAATTAATCCGTACAGTAATCATTGACAGGCTTGACCCTTGTCAGTTTGTTGTTGACATGCTGCATATGAGTAGATCTATCTCAAACGTGTCATGATTTGTGAGTAAAATGGTGTATAGGCCTATGTTGAATGATTTTATTTGCACTATTAACTTTGTTTCAGTTTTTCACAAATTCAAAATTAGGTCACAGGATCTATCTATAATAAGTTTATAAACAAAGGAAGTGGCTAGCACGTGTACGGGGCCTGTAATCTATATCTGTAGTTAAACTGTCGAACAAAAAAAAGAAGTAGCAGAAAATAGTTCTACACAGTTACTTTTCAACCATCTAGGCAAGACCTATCCAGCTTCCGTGGCGGTGCCCATGTCCGAGACCCTGCTGGCATAGCTCAACAGTGCTCCAGATAATTTTTTAGGGCAATGCATGAGTATTTCCTCATTGATTTTTTTGTGAATGAGTAAAACTTGAAATCTGAGATTTGGCAGTCCTGAGTATTTTTACTCCTTAAACAGTTAAAATGTATGTAAAAGAGTAAAACATTTATTATGCTTCTGTGTTTATTGTATTATTATACTTGTAATACAAGATATGTCAAAGTCATTTCCTTTGCTTTTTGGACTCCCTTGGTTTATAAACGGCATACAGTTTATCTGAACCTGAGCCATGTTGCTGTTGCTCATACGTGGCAGCGCTAATTATTTCATTAATTATAACCTTCACAATTACTTTTGGGTCGATTTTTTTACGAGTCAATCGTTTTAATTTTTGACAGCGACATTGTATCGGATGTTTATGAAATTGTGTTAATTCCACCACCTTACTATACATACGATAACAACCGATGAAAGTCGGAACTACAGGATGTTACCGTTAGACGCTTTGGGGTAATTGCAGAGCATTCATACGAAGTTAATTCCACCACCATACTATAAATACGATAACAACCGATGATGGTCGGAACTACAGGAAGTTACCAGTAGACGCTTGAAAAGCGTTCAGACGAAATTAAAAAGATAATCACCGACTTTACTTTTGGTTACGTTTACGCGAAAGAAATGTTTTTTAATGCGTAACCTGAATTTTGTGTGCGTTTTCATACGCTTAAATTTTGTTTTGAATGCGTAAACGTGTTGTTTCCATGTGTAATTTACGTGTATACACATCTTATCTGGAGCCCTGAGCTCAAGCCCTTCATTTGGCGGTACTTCGTAACTGTGCATGCAAGTCTCCTTTGAAGCTTAGTTTAGACAGCTCATTCTTGAAGGATGCCAAAGAATGACCCTTAGCAACAAATGCTGGCAGGTTGTTCCATAGAGGAATACAACAAGGAAAGAAGCTGAACTTCATAACATCAGTGGACGTTGAATATTGCTTGAATGGGGTACTGTGTGGCGACCTTGGTCTGGGTTTAAATGGTGTTAAAAATTGGCCTGGATCTATCTCCGCAAGTTAATGGATGATTTTGTAGAATATAATGAGTTGGAGCTTTTGACGGTGTGTTTCCAATGTTTCTCAGTTTAAATGTTGTAGCATATCTGAGACACTGTTATGGTACCTGTTTGTAGTGAAGCGTGCTGCTTGTCGCTGCACAATTTCTACTTTATGTATAAGGTTTTTGTGATAGGGGTTCCAAACAGTGCAGCAGTATTCTGACTTAATTAGATCAAACAAGAGATATGTAGGCGTTTGTCTTAGTTTCACAGCTTGTGTTTCTCTGATTACGTTTTAGGAAGCCTAGCATGTTGTTAGCGTTTTTGGTGATCTTGTCAATGTGTTGTTTCCAGCCAAGGTCTGATTGTAAGTCCACACCTAAGTATTTCGATGTCTGTTCTTTAACCAGAGTTATACCTTTCAGGATATAGTTGGTCCGGAGAGGAGATTTCACCCTGGTTACTCGTAGGACGCTGCATTTCTGAGGGTGAAAGTCCATGCCCCACAAGTGATCCCACCTGGCTATAGAATCTAGGTCCGCTTGAAGTAGATGCTGATCTTGGATGGACTTGATCTGGCGATAAAGGATGCAGTCATCTGCAAATAATCAAGTCTTTGAGAGTAGTCCCTCTGGAAGGTCATTTATGAATATGAGGAACAAAAGTGGTAAAGTACTGAGCCCTGAGTGACACCACTAATGACTGTTATCTGTACTATAATACTAGCCTAAATATCTAGTCATATGAAAGTCACACTTGGCCTATACACGCTGTTGAAGCTAGTCCTATATGGCTTTTTAGCTCACCTGAGCATGCTCAGGGTGAGCTTTTAGGATCGATGATTGTCCGTCGTCCGTCCGTTCACATTTTGTTGTTAACACTCTAGCGGTCGCATTTTTGCCTCAATCATCATCAAACTTGGTCAGGATGCTTATCTAGTTGATAGCTCGGATGAGTTTGAACATGGGTCATCTCGGATGAAAAACTAGGTCACAAGAGCTAAAAATAGAAAAACCTTGTTAACACTCTAGAGGTCACATTTTTGCCTCAATCATCATCAAACTTGGTCAGGATGTTTGTCTAGGTGATAGCTCGGATGAGTTCGAACATGGGTCATCTCGGATGAAAAAGTAGGTCACCGGAGCTAAAAATAGAAAAACATTGTTAACACTCCAGCGGTCACATTGTTGCCTCAATCATCATCAAACTTGGTCAGGATGCTTATTTAGTTGATAACTAGGATGAATTCGAACATGGGTCATCTCGGATGAAAAACTAGGTCACAAGAGCTAAAAATAGAAAAACCTTGTTAACACTCTAGTGGTCACATTTTTGCCTCAATCATCATTAAACTTAATCAGGATGTTTGTCTAGGTGATAGCTTGGATGAGTTTGAACATGGGTCATCTCGGATGAAAAAGTAGGTCAACGGAGCTAAAAATAGAAAAACCTTGTTAACACTCTAGCGGTCACATTTTGGCATCAATCATCATCAAACTTTGTCAGGAAGCTTGTCTAGGTGATAGCTCGAATGAGTTCGAACATGGGTCATCTCTGATGAAAAAGTAGGTCACTGGAGCTTAAAATAGAAAAACCTTGTTAACACTCTAGCGGTCACATTTTTGCCTCAATCATCATCAAACTTGGTCAGGATGCTTGTCTAGGTGATAGCTTGCATGAGTTCGAATATGGGTCATCTCAGATGAAAAACTAGGTCACCGGAGCTAAAAATAGAAAAACCTTGTTAACACTCCAGCGGTCACATTTTTGCCTCAGTCATCATCAAACTTGGTCAGGATGCTTATCTATTTGATAGCTTTGATGAGTTCGAACATTTGTCATCTCGGATGAAAAACTAGGTCACAAGAGCTAAAAATAGAAAAACCTTGTTAACACTCTATCCGTCACAATTTTGCCTCAATCATCATCAAACTTGGTCAGGATGTTTGTCTAGTTGATAGCTTGGATGAGTTCGAACATTGGTCATCTCGGATGAAAAACTAGGTCACAGGAGCTAAAAATAGAAAAATCTTGTTAACACTCTAGTGGCTACTGTTTTGATCCAAATATCCTGAAAGTTTGTTTTGATGATTTCTAAGTCAAGTTCGAACATGGGTCATCTTGGATGAAAAACTAGGTCACACCGCCCAAATATTGAAAAACCTTGTTAACATTCTAGTGGTCACATTTTCGACTCAATTATCATCAAACTTAGTCAGGATGCTTGTCTAGGTAATTGCTCGGATGAGTTCGAAATCGCATGTGAAACTAGGTCACCGGAGCTAAAAATAGAAAAATCTTGTTAACACTCTAGTTGCTACTGTTTTGATCCAAGTATCCTGGAAATTGGTCTGAAAGTTTGTTTTGATGATTTCTAGGTCAAGTTTGAATATGGGTCACCTGGGAAAAAAAACTAGGTCACACTGCTCAAATATGGATAATCCTTGTTAACACTGTAGTGGTCACATTTTTGACTCACCTGTCATGAGACTTGGTCAGAATGCTTGTCTAGGTAATTGTTTGGATGAGTTTGATGGGTCAGGTGAGCGATCTAGGGCCATCATGGCCCTCTTGTTTCAATATTTAAAAAAAGACAATGATGAAGTCAGTATATTTATTATAACTTGCTTGCTAATTACATTTTCACATAGGTATGTTATCCTCATCTGTTGATTTCTGAGAGGATCTCAAGGATAGGCATAAGAAACTTGTAACTAAACACAAATTTTACTAGCCACGCCAATTTTCAGGTAAAAAGGTCCAGGACATTTGGATCTGTAGTAATATCAAAATATAAAACTGGCCATTGAATCAAGGTTCATTGACCCAGGAACTTCAAACTTAGCCTGACTTCAAATATCAGGGTCACAATGACCTTTGTTAATGTTTTTTGTGTAGAGCTTTTTTATTATCAATAACTTCAATTATGACTTTTAAACTTAATACAGGAGTTTTGCCAAGCCCATTAGGCGAAAAGGTCAAAATTATCATTAACTGAAATTTTAATAATCTTTTTAGAAATGGTGCCATTTACAATACAACCCTGAGAAAAGTGGATAGCCCTGTCATAGGATAGCTTTTGTTTTATTTAAAATTTCTTTATTTCATTTTAAATTTTCTTTATTTCAGGAAAGCAAAGGAGTTTAGTCAGTTAGTAGACATCAGGAGCAGTGGCAGTTTATCTGCATTAAAACTGCCTGGATCCTGTAAAACAGTAGCATGTATTGATTTAGCAGCTTCTGTTTGTAGCAGTCATGTTGATAAGGTATGCCAAATTTCAAAGTAAATTTTCTTTTGTATTTGTTTGCTCATCTAGTTTTCTTTATTTTTCTATCTTGTTTTTTTTTATCAAAACTTGCTTGTGCTGTCAGGGCTTTTTTTCCTTCTATAACAGGGGCCAATATAAGCCCCCTTCACAATTCAAAATTGCACTTTTTTTCACAAAGTGGCAGAAAAAAAAATTACAAAATATTGGGACTTTGTCTTTGAAATACATTGTTTACCCTCCAGTTAATCATGATTTACGCCAATTTCAAGAACACAGAAATAGTTTTAATCAATTTAAATGGTTTAAGCACATGTTAAGCGGGTTAAAGTACTTGAAGACATTTTCCGGTTTCATAATGTCGCTAAATGCCAAATAATATGTAATTTTTTTTCACAATTTTATGACAAATCACGCTTTTTTTCACAAAATGAACAGGTCCAGGCCCCTTCACAATTTTGACAAAAAATGCCCTGGCTGTGAAAAAAGTAATGATTTAAAAAACAAAACAAATTTTTTTACAGTTAATCAGTAGGTTAAGCCTGATTTATGATCATGATTTGTTTTTATGCCCCTACAAAGTGGGGGGCATATAGCGTTGCACTTGTCTGTCCGTACGTCTGTCCGTCCGTACGTCCCGAAATCTTGTGAACGCAACTCCTCTTAAACCGGATGGCAGATTTTGGTTAAACTTCCAGGGATGAACAACCTTAATGTGTAGATGGTAGTAAAGGAAGGAATTTTCGCTGCGACCAAATTTAACAGAATTATGGCCCTTTGTTGTTTTTTACACTATATACTATGTAGAAATTTTGTGAACGCAACTCCTCTTAAACCGGATGGCAGATTTTGCTTGATTTTTTCACTATATTAATACTATACCATATATATGTTGTCGGTGGGGGCATCCGTGTCCTTTGGACACAGTTCTAGTTAAAAATAAAAAGCGGACGGTTATTTAAAATAGGGAGGGACTAGCCAAGATCAGGTTACATTAGTTTCTCAGTCTTTAGAATAAAGATTTTATTTTACTATGGATTATTAATTCACATATTCACGATGGCCAAAGGCATGGGAAGAAAAGCTTTATAGTTTTCCAGCATTTAATAATTATTTTCTGTGTTTTCAGAATGCAGCTGTTAAGGTGTCAGGAACAACTAAAAAGTTGTATACAATGTGTTTGAAGACTATAGAGAGTATATTGGATATACAACAGATACAGACTGTACGGGAATTAGCTGTGCAGTTTGGTTGTACAGGGGCTGTAACTCTTGCACAACAAATTCTTAAAAGGTATATAATTATAATTATGAACCTTATAATATTAGTGAAAAATCTAATCAGTTTTAAATGTTGTCAAGTTTTAGGTTTTACGCTGTACCAGCGTAAGACAGTATAGGCAACTTTCCAGCTTTATAGGTGAAAGAACACCTTCAGTATTCAGGCATGAAAAGGCACTTGAGTAGAAGCATGATGTTCTGTCAGCTCGCTGGATAGCTTCCTCTCACAAAAGAATCCAAAATATCTGTCGGGATTCAAACCCACAGCAATGAGGGGCAAGTGGTTTTAAGTCAGTCACTGTAATCACTTGGCCACGAATACCCCTCATTAGTATAACAAGACATGATAAATAAGGATGACTAAATGTTGTTGTTAATATTGTAGGTATGAAGATTCTCAGAAAGTTGATGGAGATGACATGGATTTTAGCACAAGTCTTTTTCAAGGAGCTGCACTTTGTGCTGCTTGCAAGTATGTTGTTGTTTTTATATTAAATTAAAATACAATATGTGATATAGTCTCTCCTATTTGTATAGGACTATATCAAAACCATTGGAATGCCTTTAAGTTTTCTTCACTGCCATCGGAATGTGGATGTGACTGAGGAGGCACAGTTCACCAACAGAGGATATTCATTACAGCGAACTAGTGGTTGAGTTCTAAACTACAGTTTCTTTCTGTCCTGACAATGTGCTTCCAAAGTTTTTAACTAATGATGAGGGCAATGTCCCTCAATAAAATCACAGGACTATAAGAAAAGATGCTTTTATAAAGCGATTGATGGGCTTGGATGGAAGTAATGACTGCGGTCTTTTAAAGGAGCCCCAGGTCTTTATAAAAGTTACCTTAATTAGATTTCTGAATGGACAGGCTGTAAAGTGACATACATTGTACTTTTAATTGAAAATCATTTTATGGCTAATAATGTATGGAATTAGCCTAGAGATTATTTCATATAATTATGCATTTTAAAGGGCATGCCAGATAAATTTCCAGGTTCTCTACTGAAAGGTCAAATGGATTACTAGTATCTTTAATGACATTCGACTTGTTTACAGTTATCATTATCTACAGGTTATAATCCATTGCTAATGCCGACATTAAAAAGAAAATTGTGACTTGCATCTGTTTGCATGTCGTGTATGTAATACAGGAAGTAGTTTTGTAGTTTTATGCAAAAAAAGATGTTTGGAGGTTACTAATGAATAAGTAAAATAAATATCCTAAAATTAATCCTTTTACTAGTACAAAGTAGTATTATGATTTTTGTTTATAGAAAATTGAAAATCAAATTAGAAAGAGGGAAACTAAAAGAGATGTGTGCAGTTAAAAAGACTTGTTTTGAACAATTGGTCACAGACATGGAGAAACTTGCAGATTCAATAGAAGGTAAATAATGATGTAATGTGATATATCTTGTGTATAAACATTTTTTTTAATAATAGCCATTCTTTTTAATTATTTGCTGGACTTTTTGTAAAACAGTGTTAGACTATCCAACTAATCCTTGCTGCAATGGTGTAACTCTAATTGGTTAAGATTTCTTTGTGCAACTTTATATATAAATTAAACCTTTATTTTTTCAGTCTTTTTTACTGTATGGTTATCTTTTGTAAATTGAGAAAATTTCTGGTAATAACTGGTTAGGTTTTCCATGCAAGTTGTATTTCTACAACCATTAGAAGTTACTGACCATAACTCAAGAACCAATTCAGAATTATTCCCTTTGGTTGACTTAGAATTTGATTGTTTGTTTGTTTCATTTTACGCCTTTTCACAACAGTATTTCAGTCATATAGGCGGGTAGTTTCCTAACCATTGTTCCTGGAGAGTTACACCAGTACTAGACTACCTTCCTCCGCGCTAAACTACCAAAGCATCTCCAGGGGATCGAACACATGCCAGAGAGGTAATTGGATTAGAAGTCATAGACTCTAACCCCTTGACCACGGAGGCGGTTGGTTGACTTAGAAAATTCCTATTATGTTTTGTTTATCTGTAAGGCACTTAGAATAATTTAGTGTAGTGTCCATATAACAGAGAGTTTATTAGATTTCTTCGCTTTTTCAGCATTGATCAAACTTTTCCCTTAATACACATTTCTAAAAATTAAAGTCTTTTCTTGTACATGTTCTGTATATTCAATTCATGAACAAAGGATGTAAGACAGAGTGTCTAATTATATTTTGTTTATATGATCAACATTACTTTGTTATAAAGGAGAGAGAAAAGTTTTACCAACAAAAAGAAGTAAAACACTAATGGATGACATAGAAGGAAAAATGCAAGGTACTGGTTATATTTTTAAATCAGATATTCAAATAAATGATAAAATGATATAGTTGTATTATACACTTTGAGTTATAGTAAATTTAAGTGTTTTGTAGACAGAGCCAGTTAAATTGTTTCTTTGAGAAAAACTTTACTTTCAATTGCATAGTACTTACTGGTTTATAGTCCCAGGAATGGATTTAAGAATGTGTCTATAAGCTTATTAAACTACTCTAAATTCTGTATAAAATAGAGTAAGTTACAGTTCACATTTTTGAAACCATTTTATGTTAATTGTACGACAACCATTAAGAATTCAATTTAAATTAATTTATTCAACAATTAATGTTCACAATATTATTTTTAGCTCAACTATTCAATAAGAATAAGTAGAGCTGTTGTGGTCACCCGAGCGTCGACGTAACCACTTATGTTAAAGATTTTGTAATACCTCAAATATTTTCAAAGTCCATTGACATATGGCTTTGAAACTTTGCACACTTGTTCACCATCATGACCCCAGCCTGTAGACAGGAGGAGGTAACTCTATCAAGCATTTTGACAGAATTATGCCCCTTTTTCGACTTAGAATTTACGTTAAAGTTTTTGTAATACCTCAAATATTTTCAAAGTCCATTGACATGAGGCTTTGAAACTTTGCACACATGTTCACCATCATGACCCCAACCTGTAAACAGGAGGAGGTAACTCTATCAAGCATTTTGACAGAATTATGCCCCTTTTTCGACTTAGAATTTACGTTAAAGTTTTTGTAATACCTCAAATATTTTCAAAGTCCATTGACAAAAGGCTTTGAAACTTTGCACACCATCATGACCCCAACCTGAAGACAGGAGGAGGTAACTCTATCAAGCATTTTGACAGAATTATGCCCCTTTTTTGACTTGGAATTTACGTTAAAGATTTTGTAATACTTAAATATTTTCAAAGTTCATTGACATAAGGCTATGCAACATGTTGAAATTTTATACTCTTCTTTGAGAGCATAATAGGACTCTCTCCAATGCCTGTATTGAAAGAAAAATTTTGCCTTTTTCTTTACTGAGAAAATTTTACCTTTTAATCGAGGCTTTTTTTACTATCAAGCAGTAAGAATAGTCGAGCGTTGCTGTCCTACTGACAGCTCTTGTTCAACTTACATTTAATTTACATTAAAGTTGACATAGACTCAGATATTTTCATATTCCATTTACATTTGGCTTTGAGACAAGTTGAAATTTTATACACTTCTTTGAGAGCATTATAGGACTTTCTCCAAGGCCTATAACTGTAACATGGATTTAAAGAAAAAATGGCCCTTTTATTAACTTAGAGAATTTTACATTATCAAGGTTCTTTTACTATCAAGCACTAAGAATAGTCGAGTGTGCTGTCCTACTGACGGCTCTTTTTTTCAATTTATTTTATCTAAGTGTTTAAATTTAATGTATCTAAATTGAAATAGATCCTTTTTAATATGTTGATAAGTGACTTTCCAGTGCCTTTGTAAAAGCACCATGGTAATACTTTATCACATATGAATCCCAGAAAAATAATATTTAGTCTGATACATTATTTTGTGTAAAGTTTGTGTGTTTAATATATCAGTATTAATATTTGGATTTTGTTTTACAGAAATTCCAGAAAAACAACAAAGGAAAACACAAGATGATGATAATGTAGATGAAGATGATGAGCAGGTAGATTATGAAGAATGGAAAAGAAAGATTCTAGAAAATGCTGCCAGAGCTCAGTCCAACTCCTGACATATTTCACCTGCAACTGACTACTTGGCTATGTAAAAGGTTCATATTTCAGTATAAAGTGAATGGAAACATTGGGACATCAATTGTCTTACTTCAATCTAGATTAAATTATAAATTGAATCAAAAGCAAGTCACTTGGTCAGATTATAATGTAACCCTGTCTTATTGAAACTTGGTCTGTATGTTTCTTTTACTGTACAGTTTGAAATTGGATCACCTGGAATGAAAAAGTGAGGTTTACTAGATGAAATTGCCTTGTATCAAACTTAAGACAAGTTTCTTGTTTAGAGTCCTTGATCATTATGGCCCTATTAAATTTAAAGGTATTCCACAAAGGTGTTTTGACATGACTAGAGCTGAAATAGTTTTTCCAGATTTCTGTTCCATATGACGTAGGTCTAAACAAGAAACTTGTGTGCGGAATTTCAGATCATTCGCATTCTCTGTTATTCCAGAATAATTATTTAAGTTCTGAAAAAAATGATCCAAAATTCAAAAGCATTGCAACGTCTTTTGCCTTTTTACTCCAACTGGGTCGAGAATGGCACAAAAGTATGATTTTCAGTTTATTTCTTGGTATATGTCTTAATTATCTTTTGCATATCTTTCTGTTTAAAGTGCCTTAGTCAGTCTGTGTAAGAAATGCAAATTTTATATTTTCAGCTTTTGAAACTCATTGGAGTTCCTTTATACTTGCTAGTTTAACTAGGACTGATTTTGTTAACAGATTACAATAAGCATATTATGTCTTTATCAGGAACTACTTTATGTATTTGTAACAAAAAAATTATTGAAGTAAATGTTTGTAATAAAATGTGGATGAATATCAAAATAAGAGTTGATAATTTGTGTCAAGAATGGAAACTGTATTTTTTACTAATTTACATGTGAGTAATTTTATTCATTCGATAATTTATGAAATAAAATTAAAAAACGAAAGCTTGATTGTTATATTTTAATTATATTTTGCTATCAGTAATCTATAAGTCCTATTTGGTGTAAAAAAAAAATGGAGTCTGTATTAAACAGTACAAGCTTGGTTGGCTGAATCTTTAGTAAGTCTATAGCTTGTTTGATACCTATTTATCAAAATCTATTTCATTGCCTTGGGGTTGTATTTCCAATATAAAAAAAAAAACATGTCCATATTTAATAACAACATTGAACACAAAACTTTCATATAATGAAAAATTGGAGGACATGCTGCGAAAAAAGACAATTTAAAAAAGATACAGATAAACTAGATTTTGCTCTGTTATTGTTTTGTTAGAAATATCATAAGTGACGTATAAATATAACTTTTGAATTAAAATTTACCATGGACTGTCAATAACAAGAGCACTACAGTTTTAACACTTATATGTTAAGACTAACAGCTAAATATTATTAAATTCAAGAGTGATGTTAAAGGCCTCCGTATTATATGAAAAAGTCATAATATATGGTGTAGTAACCAAGCATATGAATTTATCTGTACAGCCATGTATGCACATCTGCCTGTTCTGAACAGCATGTGTATCTGTCTACCACTAAATATGCACATCTGTATCATTGGATATGCATCTGCCTGTACCATCAGTAATAAACATCTGTCTGTACCACCCAGTTTAAACATCTGTCTGTACCTAGTATAAATATCTGTATATACCACCCAGTATGAACATCTGTATCACAAAGTATGAGCGTCTGTCTGTAGTGAACCAGTATAAACATTTGTACCACTCTATGTGATCAACTGTTTTACCACCCAGTATAAATATCTGCCTGTACCACTAAGTATAAACATTTGCCTGTACCACCCAGTATAAACATCTGTCTGTACCACCTGCCTGTACCATTCAGTATAAACATATATTTGTACCAAATACTATGAACATCTGTCTGCACCACCCAGTAGGTACATTTGTTTGTACCACCCAGTATAATCATCTGTCTGAACCTCTCAGTATGAACATCTGTCGGTACCATCCAGTATGAACATCTGTATGTACCACCCAGTATAAACATCTTTCTTACCTCCCAGTATAAACATGTCTGTACAACCCAGTATAAACATCTTTCTTACCTCCCAGTATAAACATCTTTCTTGCCTCCCAGTATAAACATCTTTCTTACCTCCCAGTATAAACATATGTTTGTACAAACCACTATGAGCATCTGTCTTACCAACTAGTGTAAACATCTGCCTGTACCATTCTGTTTGTACATCATATCATAGTGTTACAGTCATTGAAATCTCTGATGGTATGTATATCAAATAAAGCAAGAATAAGTTTTAAAACTTTATTTCTGTACAAAAATACAGACATATATCCTTAACAAAAACATGAAGTTCATACATTTGTAGTTTTATAGTAAGACAAATAAAAGATGAATATAATACAAGCTCATTAGACATTACACATGTCGTCGGTTTACATTTTCACAATTTTTATGCTATAAGTTTGTGCAATGTTGACAAGCATTTCTAAGAACAAGACTGACATTTGAAATATCAAAGGTATACTATTATATAAATTCTTCTTCACACAAGTCATCATAAAACACAACTGTAACTGATATAATAGTGTCCAACAACTGGATTATTTTGTATGGCATAAATGGCATTGACCAATTCATAATTCCATACTGAAATTTATGCCACCACACTTTACAATTAACATCTTCTTAGCCAATCACATGTGTATCTACTGTTATGATATATATATATCAAGCTAATAAACAACTTACTAAATGTACATTGTTTCAGCATGGAATATATAGATACTGTTTTTCAAATATGCTTCTGACTGATATTTTAATACAGAAATTTTTTTTTCAAAACAAAAAACAAACAAAAACCAAGCAATCTGGTTGATCCGCAGGTATTTGAAAGACAAAAAAAAAACAACAAAAAAACAGAGCAATTATAAGCATTAGTACTCCTGCTATCCACCCATAAAAATCACTTCTGTCTAATGTATTTACATTCAACATGCAGTTCTATAAAATGTTTAGACAAAGTGTCTAACTGCATTTCCCCCCCAACACCACACCACTTTTCCGAAAAAACAACAATGTCTAAATTAAGATGCAATGGGAGGTAAGTCAGTCCCACAATCTTAAAACAACTTCCACTCCCTGTGTATAAAATAGTTATTGAACACTGTGGTAGGTATATCATACAGGCAGATATTACAGCCTTGTATACATGATTCTACATCATGCCATTGTCAATATAATTGTTATGATCAGAAATGAGCTGTAGATCTGTCAACCTCCATCAAATCTTCTACCAACTGTAACATAAAGGGGAAATAGTGTAAAATTAGTCATATATATATTATTATGAAAGTGTATTTCCTACTTATTTCTCTCAATTACTAAAATTTCATACTGTAAATTTCATACTGCAAGTTAAGTATAATTTTGTCTATTGGAGTAACATTACACAAAATCAAACTTGACTAGTAAAGTTCTTAATGAATAAAACATTCACTCTGATTTAAGTTATTAACTTATTTGATACTGTAAAAATCAATGATCAAGGACAAATGAACTGTGAAAGGTACATGTATAGGTTTTAATCATACCATAGACAAATACATAAATGATAGTTTATTCCCTTGGCACTCTGTATCAAGGGAACACAATCATGTATTTCTGTCTAGGTATAATGTACCTGATTCTATGTCCATTGAGTCTAAAGGTATCTGATTTCTTTAAAATAACAGTGCAAACTGTGGAGTATTAATCCTCACTGCAACAAGTATATATACATAACATACTTGAACATTTGTCCAGCTGCCCCTGAATTTGCATAAAATCTAGTTTTAAACTCTCAAAAACATGCTCTTTTTCAACTTAACTATAAAAGAAATCCTGAAATCCTTCAATTATGATTTTAAAGATTTTTCTTTTAATTTTCAAATTTTCTTACATGTATTTGGTATTTGGTGGTTGCTAACAGTCAGTCTTACCTGATCAACACTAGTTCCTATTCGTTTTGCCATTTCAGATTTTTCCAGTACGCTTAAATGTAGAAATTTCCAAAGTAGTTCACCATCAAGAACATTTTTGTGGGCATTTGCAAGATCTGCCGAGTTATTTTGTACAGCTCTGGAAAATTAAAACAATAAATTAACTGTCATAGAATTTTACTTGTACTTAAAAATACCACCAAAGCTTTATTTGAGAAACAACAAAAAGAAAATCTACATACACTCCAAACAAAGTTCTAGTATAGTATATTGAACAAATACTAGTCTATAATATTACACTCTAGTAGAAAGCTTCTAATATTTCATTTATTTGGTTCATCTTTCAATACTATCATAAATAATATAAGTAGCATCAATATTCTTTCTTAGACCAACTACATAGCTACACAATGTGTTCTACTGATATGGTAATTAATATATAAATGAAGGAATATAATGGTGGTGTTGGTAGTTTTCACTCCTGATCACAGCAGTAAGCCACATTGAATTAACCAGAGCATAGTTCAACCACGGCATCATTCCCAGGCAGGCTATCAAGCAGTTTACCAGTACTAGTTGCCTTCACTTTCGCAAGGAACTGAAACTTCTGTACATACCAGAGCAAAGGTACAGTGTGAATGACCGTAGAAAGGATTTCATGATCAATCACAACAAAACAGACCTGCGCCGTCCAAAATCAAACCCGGGTTGCCTGATTCACAGTCCAATGCTCTACCTATTGAGCTAACTGGATGGCTTTTGAAGGAATCTGATTACATTATATCAATAAATACCTGTAAGATCTCGGATTGAGCCCGGCAGTGTGAGGTAGCTGCATATTAAGGGCATTCTGTAACATGAGTAATCTTCTATACACCTTCTCTGAGACCGGTAACAAGTAACCTAAACTACCATCTAGTGATGCTGAAACACAATATCGATGGCTCAGCGCAATACTGGTCTAACTGCTATTTTTGAAAATGTTCAGGAGAGACAAAAAACTGATTTTATTCAAAAATACTTATATTAGAAAATATTTTTTTGCTATGTTAACATTAATTATAATAAGAAATAATGCCATTTATATAATTTTTTATTAAAATGTTACAAATTGTGTATTTTAGAGTTAGACCTTTATTGCGCTGAAATTCTTAGCGCAATACAAGACTAACTTGAGTTAGACTCAAATTCCCTCTTGCAATTTGGTAAAAGTGGTACAAATATTTGAGTTAGACCTGTTTTATGTTAAATATTCTGATGTAATGAAATTTTAAATTTTGAACAAATTGTTTTGTTAATTTAAACATTGTTTAAAATATTTTGCAAGTCTGTAAAAGAACTTTACAAAGACTAAATCCTTTAATATTTTTCTATTAATATATCATGCGAGCTGACTTTAGATGAAAGTACACTTCTTTCTCCTTTTTCAATTTGTTTGAGATTCAGATTTACTTAAGATCTTTTGCAGATTATCTGTGCAATAAATTTGAATTCTAAACAAAATGCAAACAGTTTTGATTCATATAGTGTTATGAACAGTAGTCATGAACAATGATGACTGACGATCCAGGTATACATTATGATATCAAACAGAGAATGTACATTTTGTATAACTCACATTTGTACAAAGAAGACACATTTTATTTTCTCAATGCACACCATTACCGCCATTGGTGCTTAAATGCTGTGATTCCAATATTACTGTTATGCGCTAAATCTTAATAATGAATTGAATGTATGTGGTCCTCTTTTCTGATGATATAATCATTTATAAATAGCAAATATTTTCAAAAATGAAAACCGCTGTTAGACCATGCTTTTATTACAACTTTTGTATGTACTTTCTCAACTGTTTAGAGTATATTTTGAAAGTGTAATGTGCAAATTTTATGAGATGTTTTGCTGAAAACTTTCATTTTATACAGTTGACTCTCAATAAGTCAAAATCGCTTTACTCAAAATTCCGTGTTAGTCGAAGAATTTCTAAAGTCCCTTCAAATTACCTTCCTTATCTTTGTATTTTAACTCCGCTTAGGTCAAATTTTGACTAACCGAGACTCCTGTTTAGTCAAAAAGAAAATTTGGTCCCGTCAGTTAAAGTCCAACATATTGTCATTAGTCGAAGTGTGAAAACCGCCAACTAGTTGCTTCTTTCGTATTCGTCCGATGATCAATTCACTCCAAATATTAGATAAATTGTTGAAATAAATGTTGTTATTGTGCTTTTATTGTAATGAATTGTCAAGAGTGCTTATTAAAGCATTTACTTTACTGATGAATCAGGCACATGTATATACATGTACGAATGTCAACGTAATGGCGCAGATCGACGTAACTCGATTTCCTTTTCTCTCGAAGTAAAATACCCAGTCCCATGGATTTCGAGTTACCCAGAGTCAACTGTATATCAAAGTCATTTTACCTCTTAATTTTGACCAAATAACAAAAGGTTGTCAAACATATTTTAGAGAAAAAAGTAGGGCAGTACAACCCACTATCAGGGATTCATAGAACAAAGTATTGTTAGCACATGATATAATTCAGAATCATTTTAGTAAAGTTAGATGTGCTTTAAACACTAACTTGCAACCACTTACTCAGTCAGATATGAAAAGGCGCACACCTGAAAAGCACCATGTGCACACCTTAGATTAGCATTAAACAATTAGAATGGATAAATGTTTGAATTTTCTCATTGACACTGATACTATTCCAAAAGCCGTTGATAGTCATTACATTTTTAATTTCATTAAATTTGATAGGTAAAATTAATGGCTTTAAGATCTAAAATGAAACATTTTTATCAACTTATAGCTGTTTCTGCTACATAAGTCAAAGAGTTTTTGACAATTGCACTCTCGAAAATTCAATGGAGCTGTGTGATGTAAAAAATTATCAGAATACATGCAAGAACTGAAAATGTCATTATAATATAAGTGTGCATATTTTGATTTTTTCTGCACATATCACATCAGACAGAAAGATATTGTATCGATAATATAAGTATTGTGAAGAGTGTGATTTGCACATGTTGACACTATGTTGTTATTGTATTGTTTGAGTTGATAGTGTAAAGTTTATATTTCTAACACGACCCGCATTTTTCCCTATTGAACATAGAAGAACCGAAAGTGTGTGTTATTATGCTATAAAATCACTGTTTGACGTTCTATATTTAGACGTGTGACGTAATCATTATACACGTGACGTAACCACTAAAAATGTGACGCGCTGATAATAAGAACGGAAACAAATCAGGCGCAATATAGCTAAATATCAGGTACGGCAGCATTTATTTGTTAATGTCGTGTTAGAATCGAAATAAAATATCCAAATCGGTGATTTTATTGCTTGATGACATTACTGTTTGTCGTTCGGATGTGCATCATTATATCACTCGGGCTGCGCCCTCATGATATAATTCCTCGCATCCGAACTCCAAACAGTGATGTTACTGAGCAATAAAATCACAGTTTGGGATATTTTGTTTCTTAAATAACATTACTTGATTTAAGAAAGTGATACAGAAGTAGATATACATAATTTAAAAATAAAAACCCAAGAACGCCCTCAAACCTGAAATTGTTCATTGTGTTACAGGCTAAGTTTGATTTGGCAGTGAAACAATGTACAGTCTACCGCCTTACACCATCTTAAGCAGAACACATTATATAAATATGAATAAAGTGTAAAATTAAGAATTAGGAAATCTCAGCATATGATTAAACAAAGGTCAAACTAAAAAAAATATGAATTTTTAGAGGGGGATCAGAGGTTATGAATCCACTAGTGTAACACATGTTATTTTCCATTTTAAATGTGTGCATGAGAAACATACACTGTCTTTTACTAAATTGTACAAAAATGATAGTTTCAACTGCACTTTATGTTATCAAATAATACAGTAGGAGTATGATGTAATGACTTCAAAGACAAAATAAATGTTTAATTGTGACACTTAATTATTATTATTTTTTTTCAAGATTTTTCGTTTACAGTTACTTGTACATGATATGCAATTGGCTAATATTTTGCGAATGATACAAAGCACTGAAAGCACTGATGAAGGCAAATAATTTCTAGTGTTTTCATGAATTCTCACATTCTTTATAACACATTTCAATGGGATATGCATATTATTTTATTATTTTTATTTGAAACATTTAAGGTCTAACTCAAGGATTTTTAAGGAAAATTGATATATTTGACATCGCAGTAAGAGACCAACTCAAGTTAGACCTATATTGCACTAACAAAATTGAACTACCTGAGATAGACTTTTATTTTAAATGTAAATAAAAAAGGCAAAAAAAGCATAAAATACCCTCAAATTTTCATAGAATGTGTATTTGACCTTACATGATCAAAATATGTAAAAAAGTGATTTTTGGTAAAAATGTCACTTAGACCAGTATTGCGCTGAGCCATCGATATGTATTTTTACATGACTTACAGTTAGAGTCTTTATTTGCTGGTGTTTTGTCATGTGACAGATTCAAACAATATCAAATGCTGTCTTATCTTTATAAAGCAAACCTATATTGGTAGACAATGTAAATAGAATTTTTATATCATATTAAAATTCTTTACATAAAACAGTAGCACTCAGTCAACCATTTTAATCATTCCCTTATAATAGGATGTTATATAAAAGAATAATAAAAGATCTAAAAATATTGGTGGCGAACCAATTACAAAACATTTTTTTAAAATAAAATAACACTTATAAAAACATTCTAAAGTGCCTTCTGGTAACTTAATGTTAAGAAACGTCTTTATAAAATAATCTATCTTATTTCTATCCCATACATATATGACATATTTACATTATAAAATCATTACCAAAGTAAGTGACATGGCGTCTCTCCAGTGGTCCTGTAAGTTTTTTTTCTGTGGACGGATCAGAGAGTTTACATCGCACACGAAACATTGTGTTTATATGAGATCCTGCATTAAAATCTGCTCTCCTTAACAATCGTGTACCTCCATGACTTTCCCGAACTGTAAACATAATACTTGTATCATTAAATAAACTATATAAATAAATAAGTGTGCTTATTGTATCTGTCCAAAAATCATAATCTTATATGTCAGAATTTCAAGGTAGAATTAGGGAATATATCGCTGAAGGCACAATTTTTTAAACTTTTATTGTATTAAAAATATCCTGTAAGTGCCGAGATATAATTTGTGTGGGTCCTACTGTCAAGGTCAAGGATTTGAGTTTCTGTGAAGAGATCTGTTATATTGTAAACCTTTCTATCCCATAAACCGCAGCGCAGGAGTGTAATAAAGCCATTTAATATAAACGATATTACACTAGTGTAAAAACACTTTGATGTGACGTCATTTGCGCTATATAGAAACATAGTGTTAAAGCGTGCTAATGTAAGCGTTACAGTATGGGTGCGTCATTGAAAAATTACTCATTTTAACAGTTTACTGTTCTTATTTTATATATGTAATAAATAGGATATTATATCTGTGTAGATTCAATAATAAATTTATTGAACTTGTTGAATAAAACAATATTATGCTCGCCAGAGGCTCGATGATTTTATTCAACTCTTTCAATAAATTTAGTACTAAACTACACTCTTACAATATCCTCTATATAATTATTATCTTAAGCTATCTCAATTATGTTTTTTATTTATAATGTTTAACCTTCACCAGGCTAACTTATTCATCTTTCAATCTCAACAAAACCATTCATCACTGTTAAGTAGGACTGTATTACTGTAATATAATAAATAATTTACTTACTTTCAGGTAAGTACTGGTATATCAAAATATTCTTCAATTTGTCTGTCACTGTAAATATAATAATGTGTTTTAATTATACTCAACAACAACTACTTACTTACAATCAAAATCGAAGAAACAAAAGGGGAATAATTCAACAAAGCAAAACAAATGTTCACTCAATTTTATCAAATTAATCAATATCTTGTGAAATTTGATTTACACTAATTCTGCTCAAGCCGTAGAAAACACAAAACATATCCAGTTTATAGCATCATTATACACAACATACATTCGATCACAAATTATGTCCCCCCTGTCATATGCACGGGAGGGCTTTTGTCCGCCTTGTAATTTTCACGGGAGGGCTTTTGTCCGCCTTGTTATTTTCACGAAAGGGCTTTTGTTCGCCCTGTCATTTTCACGGGAGGGCTTTAGTCTGCCCTGTCATATTTGGACAGGAGGGCTTTTGTCCATTTCCCAAGTGAGATAGCTGTCCTAGCTCCATGAATATACGATAAATCCTACCAGAACTGTATGACAGAAAATTAATTTTAAATGACTGCCTAGAAATGTCCAAGATGCACCTATGAAATACGTACCTATAAAAGATAACTGTGAACTGTCAACAAAATAATCTAGGCTGTATACTTCCAAAGGTTTCACATCCTGTGTAATATAAAACAAGCAAATTCGTTGAATTTATATCCCCTGCCGAGTACTGGTTATTATTAACACAACAACTGAAGACGTAAGGCTTTATTTATATATTAATCATGGCATAAACAGTAATATTCTTTGAACTTGATAAATATTCAGGGCAATAACAGAGCCATAACTTTGTGTTAAATAGTAAAATCTGGAAATGCCAATGAGATTGTATGCATACTACATAACTAATCAAGGGCCATAAATCTGAGTTATAAGTATCTGACTGGAACACAAGGCGACTATATGCACATCTCCTCTTAGTATCCATAAAGTTTCATTTGAATTCCAGCCAGTAGTAGCAGAGAAGTAGCGAGGAAACAAATATTTTTCCAGGTTTTTG